CTGGAGTACTGCATACAGTTCCGGGAGTACCAACAAAAGAAGTACATCGAGATGTTGGAGTGGGTCCAGAGGAGGGCCACAAAGATGATCAGAGGGTAGGACTACCTCCCTTATGAGGACAGGCTGAGAGAGTTGAGGCTGGAGAAGAAAAGGCTCCAGGGGGACCTTATAGCAGCCTTCCAGTACCCGAGGAGGACATACAGAAAAGCTGGGGAGGGACGTTTTATGAGAACATGTAGCAACAGGATAAGGGGAAATTGATTTAAACTGTAAGAGAGCAGATTTAGAGTAAACATTAAGAAGAAATTCTGTGCTGTGAGGGTGGTGAGACATTGAAACAGGTTGCCTAGTGAGGTCTTGGGTGACCTCTCCTTGGAGGAGCCAGGCTGGTTGGAGCTTTGAAGAACCTGGTCTAGTGGGAGGTGTCCCTGCCTATAGCAGAGGTATTGGAACTAGATGATCTCAAAGGTCTCTTCCAACCCAAACCATTCTAGGATTCTAAAAGCATCCTCTCAGAAATGCAAATTGAAACAAGGTTAATACTGTGTAGGTAAGATATTGTTTTGATCTTAGATATGTGTAGTTTTATATTTAAACAATTACTTGTTTTCTTTGACAAAGATAATAGAGCATGTAACCTTTAGCTGTTATACTAGCTTTTTCTGTGTATACTAGCTTATAACATACTGGTTTATAGTACCATGTTTTATAATTTCACTGGTTGACCTGAAGATACTTTTGACATCATGAATAGAAGGGGTACAAATGGGTCTTTATTACCAGTTCCTCATCCCTATTTTCATAGAATCATAGAATTACTGAATGGCTTCGATTGGAAGGGACCTCAAACATCATCTAGTTCCAACTCCCATGCCACAGGCAAGGTTGCCAACCACTAAATCAGGCACTAGCTTAGGCTGCCCAGGGCCCAATCCAACCTGGCTTTGAACACTTCCAGGGACAGGGCACCCACAGCTTCCCTGGGCAGCCTGTGTCAGCACCTCAGCACCTTCTCAGTGAAAAACTTCCCCCTCACATCTCACAAGATGAATTTAAAGTCATGCTTGATTTACATTCTCTTCAAGGCAGTCATAATACTTTTCCCTGAGGCCACGTAGGATCATTCTGCCAGGCTACAATAGCAAAGTCACCCTGGCTCTGTCACCCTGGCTCACATTCACCAGAGTGGCTGAGCTCTGTGCTTTGGAGCCAATTTCTGTTCTCTCTAGGGTTCTTCTGCTCCAGAAATCCCCCAGATGCCCATGCACTGTGGATTGCAATGAGAGAGGGAATCTTAGAAAAGGTTTTGAACCAACTTGCTAAATTTTTCATGGGAGAAAGCCTTCTGTAGAATGTAGGGAGCTTGCTTTAACACCATGCTAGTATCACAAGACTCTGTTTTTATATTTATACAGTGTATGATATGAACAATTTCTGGAAGGTCAACCAACTTTGTTGAGTATATTGGAATGACAAAGCTGAGTTTAACAGAAAGCCATTGAGCAGGCACGCTGGACTGGGAAGGCAAAAAGAAGAGCAGCGGAAAAATCAAAGAAGGTAAGGGAAATGGAAGCAAAATTTTAAAAGTAGTATGAAAGAAGGTTTTGGCTTTAGGAATTCAACTTCGGGAAGTTTGACTCTCTCACCTGAAACTCTTGGCTTTCCTTGTCCTTTGAAACATTTTAGCTGGGTTATTTAGTGTTTATTACACTCTTTTTTGTACGTATGCACTATATACAAACGCCTAATATATATCTATATCTGTATAAGCACATATATAATATATATATGCTTACACATATTTTTATATATGCATGCATGCATACATAAATGTATATGTATACAGTGTGTATGAGTGTATGCATAGATGTAGGATATATAAAAATCTGCCTACGTGTCTTATTTTAGCTGTATTCTAAGATAGCTGAGATGAGATTGATCTCCATTTCAGCACTCAATTTTTTCAGCAATTTGATTTTTGAAGCTGGAGTCACTGTTGCTCCCAGAAATAACTCTGGTAAAATGTGCTGTTCCTTTTACAGGATCAAAGCACAGAAGATGTTCACATGAAAGGAGAGATTAAAATCCATAGTCTACATTTAGTCATGGTTAGCTTTGCATTCCATATATTCAGACTGGGGAGGTAGGTCTTTCACAATAGGGTATTTCAAGTGGTGGCAGGGTGTTGGTAACCTAGTAACTTTGTATATTACATGTAAGAGTCAGCAGAGCTTTAAAAATGTATTCTGTATAAAAAATATATGTATAACATAATCTATCTCTTTCTCATGGAAAAGCGAAACTTTGCTTCCTTATCTCTCTTACTCTGTCAGTTTCCTTGATTCATTCTGTGTGAATAAATAGAGGATGAGGAGTGTTTTCCAAATTGGCAAGTCCTTTTTGCCCTTTATAACATAAGTTCTCTTAATAGATGAGTCATATCAAAATGATTCAAACACTGTCATGTTTGTTTAGACATTTAGACATAAATGTTCTAGACATTTATTCTTCTTGCCCAGCAGCATCTACTCTGCTGGGTTTTACCAGCTGTGTGATGTACAGTACTCACTGTGCAAATCTTGAAAGTAAGAAAAAAAATAAGGGCAGGTAGTGTAGCAAACCAGATCTTAACCACATCTTTTTGTTACTAGAATTCTTTCTCCTCTGCTGCTTAAACAAAATAAAATCTCAGCATTGTTTACTTTGTTGTTGTTTTTATTGTTGTCATTAACGTGTGGAAAAACTCTATGCAGTTTTGTTGATCTGTTGTCATCACTTTGATTGCAGCAGGAAAACTGATCTAAGAGAAGTAGCATCGCATCATCTGCAGGCAGGGTCTCATGAACCATGAATCTTCCTCATATAGGGCGGCTTTCTGACAGGGGTAATATTTATCAGAGACAATGATAGACATGATGACATCCCCTGCAGCCAGACATAAAGCTTAATTGTCACTGTGCTTGACACGATGATTTCTGTTCCTTGCTCCACAGTTCTGGGAAGATGACAGTAGGTGGCACTGGAGAATAGTAACAGGGGCGGTTGGATCTGTGAGGAAATGGAACAGTGTCCTCACTGGTTGGGTGTTTAGCCAGGCTTCTGGTCCCAGATTGCTGAAACACTTTGCTGCATTTTCTTTACAAGTCTGCTAAATGCAAAGCCTCAAGGTTTCAAATGCAAGGGTGTGGTTTTGGAAAGCTCCAAACTCAGGATGAAGCAAGACTTAAAGCAACGACCTGCTGACGATGCTGTACATCTTGGGGTGTGTAAGAGCAACTACTTCGCCAGCTCTTTACTTGCAGCTTTTTATCAGACAAAAGTCATACATGTAAGCTCATATATGGCTAAATAAAACATGTTTTGTCTTTAATTTTAGTGAGGTGTGGGTTCCTGCCAGTTGGTGGAGCAGCAAGAGTGTCTAACGGAACAGAGGCAGTATCCCAGTGAGTTTCCACTTTTCTTTGTCTATATAGATTTTCCCACATGCCAGGAAAAGGGGAGGAGATGAGTCTCCATAGTTCTAGGAGTAGAAAGTGACTCAGCAGTTTCCCACCTATTACTTTGTTGGGAAACAGAAAGTAAATAATTGTGAAAAAGTTCAGGGTTTCCCAAGAAAAATCTTCATAACTCTCTCATGGAAATCACTGTAGGGAGAGGACATGTCCAAGCTCAGTTCATGTTGCACGTACTTTCTGTGTTTGCTTGGGAACACAGGCTCTTCCCATGCATGTTTCTTCTGTTTTCTGTATCCTCCTCCTTTTAGGACATTCAGTCTCTGCGAGATGAAGCAATATCACACAGTCATGATGCCATATATTAAGAAATAGCATTCCCTAAAATTGGCGTGATCCTCTCTCAGGGTCACTTCACAGAAATCATTGTAATGTCTACAGTGCAGTATAAATGCCACCAAACGGCCTGTGGGCAAGTTAACATTTTTAAAGGGTTGGACTATATATGAGAAGGAAAACATCACCTTTCACCAACTGAAATAACTTAATAACTTTTGTCCTTGACGAACTGCTTTTAAATCACAGTGACGCCACTGACAGCTTTCACGGTGCTTTGAAGTGCAGTTTTCCCAGTAATGCTTTATCAAATTATTATTCATTCAGCTTATCAGATATAAGATATCTCTAATTAATTATTAACTTTAAATGCTTTATCCTGTTCTGTTCAGTCTTACTGTACAGCCTTTTATAACTGAAAAAGTTTTGTTTATACTATCTCGCCTTCTTTAAGGATATTTCCCTGCTTTTAATAACCTTGGAGTAGACTAGGATTGGGATTTTGGATGAATTCTGAGTAGCCACCTTGGTTGGTTAACTTATTCCTTTTTAAGTGATGGTACGAAGTTTGGAAGCAGATGGGCCCAGAGGGATTTCCTTCCATGTTGTGTCTGGAGCTGCCTCTGCTGCTCCCTTTTATGGGAGAGACCTGGCAAACTTGAGGTCTAGGAATAAGTTAGCAACTGGTGTTGTATTTCAGTTCTTCAGTTCTTCAGTTGTATTCCAGTTCTTCAGGCCCTTTTCAAAGGTGCAAAGGCTTTATTGATCCTTGAAAAATACCCCAGTGTAAGAAAGGTTCTTCCCGCTTAAGACTGCCCCAACTCTGCAGACTGAGGAGCCAAAGGCAGAGGACCTCTCTGCCAAGCAATATTTCTACCTTCCATTTCTCCTGTGAGCAAAGAGTTCCTTTCAGAGTTCCCACCACTAGTGGCAGAAAGAAGCTGCATGAAGATGGTGTGGAGTAAAAGTTCTAAATCCTGGTGTAATTGCAGCCTTTCCCATGGAGAAGTTGTCTTTTTATTTCAAGCATGTTTGATACATGCTCTGTAAGTGTGAGATCATCTGCCACAGTGTTTGAAGAAGGAAAAAGAAAAAAAGAAAAAAAAAAAAATTATGGTTCTTAAGTAATGAAAGAAACAACAAATAAGGTGTTTGCTACCTTTTATTATTGCTACTCTTCGAAATTTCCCTGAAGGAAACCATGGGAAAGAATCATTACCTCAGTAAACCGGTTAAACGGGAAGGGAAGCGTCTGACAAATAAGTTACACCCCCTTGGTGCTGAAAGCACATAGGTCATCTGAAAGTGTCTGTGAACAGGAAGAAATAGGAGGCTGTATGTTCTTCTAACAAACTGTGTTTCAGGTAAGAGGTTGCAACATATATTCTTACTGCTTAGCAACTGAACCAGCATTGCACTTCTGGGTTCCGGAAAAAAAAAAAAAAAAAGAGAGAGAGAGAAAATAGAGCCTACAGTGCACAAACCTTTTATAGTAGAATGCATGTGCATGCAGAAATAAGGGAAGTATTCCGGTATGGTAAGATGGCTGACAGTGTTGAAAGCATTGTGTCATGCTGCTGGCTCCCTTGGTTTGTAGTGAATATTTTACATAATTTGTTGGGATTTGTCTTTAAAGCCCCAAATCCCAGAAGTATGCAATTATGTGAAAATATGAATTGTCATTTCAAAGAAAAGGAAGTCTTCATACTGCACAGAAAAATTGTGAAACTCTCCAAAATGCAATTTCAGAAACCACAGAGGAAAGAAAATGAGCCCTGAAACATAACCTTTTTTTAAAAACAAACAAACAAACAAAAAGCTTGCATTATGCATTTTCATTTTGTTAGTGATTTCTGAAAATTCAGCGTTGTCAGTGCACTTCACATAATTCAGATGCAGTAATAGTGGCTGGCAAAAAGCCAAACCCTTCCCTGAACGTGGGTGTTGCTTTGAAAAGGATCAGGAGTTGGTCTAAGTACAGAGCCCAACCATAAAAACTGAGCAGGTGAGACTTAAAACATGAGATTTACAGCACAACATGATGAGTTTCCAGTCTAAAATTTTCACTTTAATCATGTGCCTGTGTAAAAGAGATGTGGTGCTATACACAGTGCTGCATGCGACTGCTCCCTTTGCAGTGCATTGTGCAGAGTCTCATTTCTCATGTGGACTCCTCAGCCCATTGAGAAAAGCATGGGAACAAATCATACAAAACATTCTCCTTCCAGCCTTTGACATTGTATCTATCCGGCCTGCTTTTAAAGTCAGGTAGCAATACTGTCAGGAGTAAAGTCAGGAGAAGCAATACTTCTCCTGCACTATGGAGAATGCAGGAGATATGCAGTTGCATACAGATGGATGGAGGTGAGATATGTGTCTTTATATGTGCCTGAGAAACATAGGACACTAATTAAGGAAAGTAGAGCAGGAGAGAGGGATTCTCCAGTCTTTTATTTTTCCTAAAATATTCCAATTTTTATAATAATAATAATAAAAATAGAATAAAAGAAGTTATCTCAGTTGATTTAATGGATGCATTTTTTTTCTTTCTTATGTTTCTTTTATTCATCTACAAGTGTCCCTCAGGATATACTATGGGAGAAATTTGCAGGGACTGAGCTGGTAATTGAAGTTCATGATGATATTCAAAGTGATATGCATCATTTTAGTTCCCTGCCAACATCATAAATATCTTTTCTTCTTTTTTTCTTCAACACAGTTAAGGCCTACCAATATACACAGCACATGGAATTACTAAGTTCGGCCTCTAATGTGGAGAAGTCATTTCAGCCTATTTAACTTTACATTTCTCTTCTCATTCCTGACTCTGGGTGATAGAAGGCTGTGTTGCCTAGAGTTTGACTTCAAATAAAACAAAAATAAATAAAACAGTGATGAATACCTTCTGTTGTAGTATAAGTTTTCACTGCAAGGCAGTATTATCAAAGCTAACATACTATACATGTTGGGGACATATTGGAAAAACAATTTGTGGTGTTAAGCTTTAACAATATTGAGTGAGTGTACTTTTCATCTCAATAGTGTCGTTTTTTTTTCTGCTAGGTAATATATATTTTCATTGAATTATTAAATCAGATATTTCCATTTATTCTGTGTGATAAAAGTACCCAGCAAAACTACATAGTTGGTGGTATTACTATTTCATGCCATTTGTGTTTCTTCTTCTATACTAAGAAGTGCAACAGGCCAAGTTGTTAAGAGCAAGTGGAATACATCAGATTTGAGTTGCTAGGTATTTTTGAATTTCGTTACAAAATAGGATTAGGAAATTTGCTGATAAGTTTGAATGATGGTGAACTACTGCAGAAGCTTATGTCCTGTCCTATTAATTTAATAACAGAGATATTATCTCAGGTTTTTCAGATGTTGTTTTTTTGAAAAACAAACTAACAAAAGGCTGAAATTTATTTATAATTATTTATATATGTTACGTACAAGTTTTTTTTGCTGTAGTGCTTATAATAGAAATTGGAGATCCAAGTCTTCTATATTTTGTCCTTGTTCTTTCACTTGCTTAACCTGTGTAGGATAAAAAAAATGATATCATATCAAATAATTTAAGAGATGCAAAATAAAGAGTATATGAATGGAACTGTCATTAATATAAAACTTTCCTACTCTCTTCTTTTGCATTTCTGCCTTATGTGTGCTATACAAATGTAAAATACTGGAAATTATGTGGACATTTTCTTTATTTTTTGTCAGAATTAGTATTTTAGATCAGTTGTTTTAGACGTTCTTTTGATGTTATTCATGAATCCAGGAAATAAATAAGAATAATTTTAAGGGCACCTGGAAATAAGGATCAGGCAAAGGACATTCAAGCTCCAGATGAAGAAAATCTTTACATCTCATGAAGAAAGCTCTTACCCAAGTAGACCAAAATATGGCTTTCACTACACCAGATTTTTGTTTGTTTGTTTAACTCTTATTCTATGCTTTCTTGCAGTGGGGTTGTATAGCTCCAGTTCTAAACATCACTTTTTTGACCTTGAAACTATTGTAAGACTTCCTTGAAGATTAACAAGACTGAAGAGAAAAATCAGAAATGGCATATTTTGGAAGGGTGCCTTTGTCAGGCGATGAATTTCTTGAAGGACATGCTGGAGACCAAGCATCTTACCTGGCATACCATTCTGGTTCTTATGGAAAGGTCTATCTAGGCTTTGATCAAATAGTTGATGAAATCAACAATGAATTTTTCTTTTATGGTTCATCACACTTACATCATCATGAAGAACATTTTTTCACATCAGATATCTTTAGTCTGAATGTGCCAGAACAACAACTCTGTAGTCATCCTTCAGTTGCTTGTGGTGAAGTTCACTCTGAAAATTTTGTACCTCACTGGCAACAAGGCACAGCATCACCAGAGATAGGTTTCAAGTCGTCCTTACTGTCTGATGATAGAAACTTCTCTCTAGTGGATTCTTACCCATACAATCAAGAGAGAGAAATCTACAGAAGAAATAGTACAACTGCAGTCACAAATGCGTTTAATTCAAATGTGGAGAGAGGCTATACATATTCGAATTTTCAGATAGCTTTTGATAATGTAGATACTCAATATTCTCTTTTTGTGGACAACTATCCATTTGGACAAAGGAGAGATGAAAGTGGAAATGGGGAAGCCTGTTTAACCAATACTTCCAGACGATTCAGCATAGGACCTACCTGGCCAAACAGCTCTGGACATGACAGAGAGGTATTTACATTTTCTGATATTAAGCATTTTGTAGCAGAAATGCTAAGTCATGGCTTGATCCAGTGATTGAGCCCCTGGTGAAAAGGCAGGGCCAACCCAGAGGAGCTCAGGTGCAAGCAATGCACCTGAGTGACCAGAAGGGATGGAGCCAGGATCTACCCCTTCCTAGTCCTCATTTAAGGGTTGGAAGTGGAGGCAAGGATATTTTACTGGAGGTCCCTATTATGCCTGAGGCCTTCTGAAGGTAAGCAGCTTCTTTCCATTTCTATGCACACTGTTGTATTTGAGCAAACCCTCACTTGCTGTTGTCTAGGACCTTGTTGCTTTGCTGTCATTGATGTGCTTTCCATCACATTACACGTTTAAAGTTCTTGATGCTTATTGCCCGTGTCCTTACGCTTTGTGTATGCAGTTGTACTTATGTGATGTGGATTAGAAGCACTTTATTTTAAGACCTGATGAAAAAGAAAATGGTTTGGGGGGAGGGAAAGCTTTTAGTTCTGTAGAGTTTTGTCAGTTGGCCAAAGGCAAATATGAGTCTTCTTATTTGCTCTTTACATCTTCCTAAAACAGAGATGTATGGAAGCAGCAGGTGTATTTTTCAATAATTATGTAACTTCTGATTTCTTGGCAGTCAGAATTTCCCACAGTGTTTTCATATATTTACAGAAGGCATGCCCTCAAACAATCAGTACATGATTAGTTAAGAGCGTGAAAACATTCAAGCATCCTCTTCCTTTGATTCTAATATCAGAAGAGAACCCAGCAGACCATAAAAAATAACTTCTGAAGGGAAGATGCCTACTCTGTCTAGCTAATCAGAATTTTACAAAGACATAATCTGTGTCCCACCTGCTTCATGTTTTACCTGATTTGTAATTGGTGTCAACATATTTCTTTAATCTACTAATTGAAAAAAATATATATTATATATATATATATAATTTTAAAATAATAATGCAAGTTTTACACCTAGTATAAAATGAAATATTTCCATTGGCTCTAACGGAAATTTGCTATTTTAAATCAAAGAGAACCCAGATTATGGTCTAGAACTCATCAGTGGCTCAGAATATGGTTTGTGCCATTACAATTATTTGGCTTATAAAACTGCAACAGAGGGATGAGTAAGAAAAGTGGAATAAGGTGTGTTTCAAATAGATAACAAATTGATTTGATTGGATATGTAACCTGAGATTCAAAACAACACTGCATCATTGTGAATGTGTTTTTCTGTTAAGCCAAATTTTTTGTGTCTAACTTGACTGATATATCCTTATTCTGAGAAACGAAATATACGATGTCCTGAATTCACGATGTGCTGCATGTGCTTATGTGTGTGTGTGTATAATTCTATTCTAAATAAATACACCTACTGTGGCTGTGAAAGATCATGCCTGTGACATTCAGCCTTTAGTTGTCTTGCTGAAGCAAATATGTGAGTTTTTTTCCTTCTTCTATCAGGTGTTCATAACTTTGTTTGTGGCTTTGCTGTTTTTAGTAATGATGTCTTCTAGAATTCCCATGGCTCTCTCTGATGTTGTATCCATTCATTTTTGTTTTTTTCAAAATTCTGTCATAGAGAAGGAAAAAAAAAAAACGATAAATCTTCCCTTTCCCCTAGTCCTTGTTAGCATTCTGAATCATTACAGGAAACCTGAAATAGCCTACAGGATACCCCAGCACCAGGAATATTAAAAGACAGTTTAGGTACATCTTCTGCTTTTATCTCTGAGTGATCACAGTATCATAAAGCAAAGGGAAAGAGACATTTGATTGACTTGTTTCTCTGTCTGTGAATAGAGAGAACTACAGAAGTAAAGATATGCAGATCCAGAGGGGGAGTGTGTTTGGAGGGAAATTAATCTGAGGATGGGACATTTTAAAATTAATCCAAGACAACAGATTTAGGAAGTTCAGTGATTAATACAAGAAGAGGAGATTAACAAGTGGAGAGATAAAAGGCTGTTGTTCATTCTTTTTGAAATTTTTTGTTTGTTTTTAACTTACAAGAGGAAAACTAAAGCATACTGATATCTTGATGAAAAGAACAAGACTTCTTAGGAGTAAAGTAGAAAACAATGGGATTCAAACAAGCAGAAGGAGATTAAATTGTTGTATGGGATGAAGACATGCTAGAGGAAGCAGGAATATAAGAAACGGTACAAATGCTTCTGATAGAGGAAGAGAGAATTATAGAGGAGGGAAGAGGAGAAGAGTGAGTCAAGGGCAACTACAACTGAAAGTGTGGGAGGATTTGATTAAGTCAGGGAAGTGTTTGAGCAGTTTAGCTAGAAGAAAAAGAAATGGGAAAAAGGAAAGAATTTGTAGCAAAAAAAATCAGTGTGGTAAGATTCCTTCAGGGAGAAGCAACTATATCAGGATAGAGAAACAAGTCAAGGGAATGGCAACCGAACCTTGAGATGGCAAGAGAAGGAAAATAAGTGAAAGAAAATTTGGGACAAAAAAGGACAAAAAAAAAATAATCTGGGAAGAGGTAAATCATTGTTGCGGGGCTGGAGTCTTTTGAGAAGATTACAAGTGCAGAAGAATAGCACTGATGCTGAATAAGACTGTCACAATGGCTAGCAAAGTGAAAAACCACAGCAGAAGAAAGAATGAGCACAGCTGGGATTTGTGAAGTCCAAGACGTATGAATGATGCATTTGAGCAGGAGGAGTTGAGAACTAGGGCTACAGATAGAATGAAATGGGAAAGGATGCTGAAACGTGCAGCTTAGCACTGAGATAGGTCATAAATGCACAAGCTGAAACATTCACATTACTGAAATTACACTGTCATTTCGATCCTGAGCTCTTGGATGCAATTGTACGGCCCTAGGCTTTGTTTAATGCATGCTATTTGAAATAAGTCCTTTGTAATAAAACAAACATTAATTTTCTGTGGCCTCGTCACCACCAAGTCAGATATTCAAAAACACTGTAGAAACGATCTTTGTAACATCTGTGACAAGTAATTTTATTTTATCCGCATGAGAAAGAATACTACAGTGCAACCTATAAAGTATCCAGTAGACTTTTCCACTTCATTTAAGATGTTTAGGATCAAATTTTTTCAGTATAACTAGCAATGCTCACTTCCCACAAATCCAGACATTATTTCAGCTTACAGACTTCAGAAATGAGGAATACGCAAATATTATTTGTATTTTAGAAGGACAGTTCACGTGAGTCAACCAACATGAAAAGTCTGTGGATGGGTAGAAGATTCCTGGGATGCACTGTTATTTATCCCTGTTGTTGTCAGTTCTTTTTATATCCAGTTCTGTCTTGTTCACTGCACTCCTGCAGATCTTTGCAATGGTGATAATCAGAGACCCATTAAAAAAAAGTATGATCATGTAACTAATATTTTATCATTATATGCAATGGCAAGAAGTTTAAGTTTCTGGACACCTGAAAACAGAAACAACAGAGTTGAGAGAAGAACAGGGAGACCACTTACCATCACTCAATTACCATCATAGGCAAAAACATTCCATGTTGAGAGTAATGCAATTTACTGCATACTAGTAACAGACTAAAGCAAGGAGAACTACAAGCAAACTAAAGCCACTTTCCTTCCCCCAAGCAGTGCAGGGGAACAGGGAATGGAGTCTACAGTCAGTCCACAATACTTCATCTCTGCCATTTCTTTGTGGCTGGTTTGCCCCACTTCCATGTGGGGGCCCTCCCACGGGATGCCATCCTTCCTCATCTGATCCTATGAGGGCTTCCCACAAGCTGCAGTGCTCAGATCATGGGCTCACCCTTTGAGATCTGCTCCAGAACGGATTCCCACAGGCAGCACCTCCTGCCTGGGGCTGTTCCTGCTGGGGTACCCATGGGCTGTGGCTCCTTCAGGCCCCATCCTCTGCCGCACCGCAGTTTCCTCAGCGTCTGCACGAGGAGATCTGCTCCATGTGGTACCCATGGACTGCAGAGAGCTGCTGCTCAGCACCTTGAGCACCTCTTGCCCTCCTTGGTCCTTGAAAGGCTGCTTCTCTGTTTCTCACTCCTCTCTCCCGGCTGCTGTTGCACAGTTGTTCCCTTCCTTAACTCTTCTCTCCCAGAGCACACCCCGTGTGGCTTATGGCTCTGTTCTGTGACAGTGCCAAGTTTTTTTTGGAGCAGATGGAGCTGGATGTGGTCTGACACAGGGCAGTGATGGGATCTGCTCACAGAGGCCATTCCTGCAGCCTCCTGCTTCCAAAACCTTGTCTCATTAGCCCAGTACAAAACTGTATCTACTGTATAGCTGTCTGCTTCCAGAACAGGCTTGAGTCAGTTTGCAATGTTACAGTAATTCCCTCTCTGCAGACTACTGCTAGTCTACACAGAATTTCAGTCAGAAAAACTGCCAGCAAAAGCTCAGAGATCCTGTTCTCATTTCAATCTCCTGCAGGAGAGGGTCAGGATCCCTTCTTTGTCAAGCTCCTTTTTTGCTACTTTTTAGTAGTTAATCACATCCTTCAAGCCATGAACTTGGGGATCCACATCCTCATGGCTGATCAGCCTTTCCTGGATATGGTGCTTTCCTTGGTTAATTCCAAGATCATAGAGTCTTAGAATGGTTTGGATAGGAAGGGACCCTTAAGATAATCTAGTTCCAACCCCCTGCTATAGGCAGAAGCACCTCCCTCTAGACCAGGTTGCTCAAGGCCCCATCCAGCCTGGACTTAAATGCTCCAGGAGGGGGCATTCACAGCCTCACTGGGCAACATGTTCCAAATGTTCCTACTTTCTAAATTCCCAGCTGCTGTTTTGCTTTTTATACATTTAGCCCCGTTCAATATCCTATCCATGTCATCTTTTCTCACCTGTGGCCCAGTTTTCTTAACTTTCCATTTATTAGCTCTCTTCTTTCATGCATTTTTTTCCCTGGGTCTATAATGGCAGAATTTCAAGAAAAGAAGGAAGTTTTGTGCTTCCGGAAGAAGTGCATTTCCAGACTTCTCTCCCATGGGATTCTCCATTCAGTGCTTCTGTCATGGTAGTCTCAGCTTGTCCTTTCTTTTCAGCTTAAGGCTGGCGTGATCCTTACCTCTTCAGAGCTTTCATCCATTGGCTACTCACCTGCAAGAGTTTGGTTTGCTTGAGTTTTGATAGCTTTCTAATGTTGGGAGCCCATTCCAGTTGCCAAGTCATCTGAATACTGAGCCTCTACCAAAAATTTTTAATAATGCCCATTGAGGTAGAAAACTAATCACAGAAGGGAAAAAGTGAAGCAACAGAGTTGTGGTTAGCAGTGAATTGATGGAACTCCTGCAGCCATTCAGCACCTTTCTTAATACCAGAGCATGATGGCCTTCTGCTTTGTATTGCTAAATTTAATTTCATTCTGTAATTTCAACCTCTGTCTCATCCATTGTTTTTTCCTACAGATACTCCTTTTTATTTTTTCCCTTGCTATTAATGATGCCCCTTTATTATCTTTAAATTTCATTAACATTCTTCTAATGCTTGTGCTATTGTGGTTAATGAAAATATTAGATGCAATGACTCTCAAGACTGGTAGGATTTATTATGGGTTTGTATAACTTCCAAGCCACTGCCACTGTGGTTTCCTCACTGGTCAGCTTCTATCAGATCTCTCATATTTCATTTTATACTAATCCTATCTTTTGAACTGCATTTAAAATTTCCCAGCCAGCAAGTCTTCAGGAACATTGCACTTCTTTTGTCCAGAAGAAGGAGGAGAAAAAAAAAAATTGTATAACTTTACATAATTTTATTTCCTTTTATGTCATTTACTTATAAGTAAATTCTTAAAATGAGCACTGGAATAAGCTCCCCATGGAGGTGGTTGAGTCACCATCCCTGGATATATTTAAAAACCATTTGGATGTGATGCTCAGGGACATAATTTAGCAAAGGGTTGCTAGAGTTAGGGTAGTTTGGTTAGGTTGTGGTTGGACTTGATAATTTTCAAGGTCTTTTCCAACCTGAGCAATTCTATGATTCTATAAGAAAATAATTTTTTAACAAGTATTTCCACTCTGGTTGCTTTTTCTTGTGAAAGGGTTTAAAATTTGGTGTCTTTGCTCAGCGTTGAGACCATATGTCTGTATGTACAATTGGCTTGCGGGTGTAATATAATAGTACACTATTCCTGGAGGTAGCATTTTAATTGATGGGGGCTACACCAAATAGAGGTCTAAATGCTTTGATCCAAAATAGCAGCTTACACAAATTTCAGAACGTATCTGGTGATTTTTCATGTTCAGACTGGATACACTGGATTCCTGTTATCTTTCTTGAGGAGCTACCTGAAAGGCTTATGGGTTTTGAAGCAATCTTTAAAGGGCAGAAAAAAGAGAAAATAAGAATTAAAATGTCCTTCAGCATAAACTTTTTTTTTTTTTTTTTTTTTTTTCACATATTCATCTGTACTCTTGACAGTAGGTGATTTTTTGAAGCTTTGGAAATATTTATTTTCTGCAAGAAGGAAAAAAAATTAAACCCTGGGCAGTGGATGACTTGTGATTTTCCATTTTATCTCTGAGAGCATTAAGAGTGCATTCAAAATGGTGTTATTTGTTCTTTCTTGGAGCTCTGCTGAGTCAGAGTAGAATGATAAGATACCAACCTTTGTTCTCATGGAACCAAATGCAACTTTAGTCTCATGTTCCCTCTGCTTATGTCTAAATATTGTCTAAGTAACTGAGATCTATTTCATTTTTTTTTTTAATTTATGTGTTTTTAGGTTACAAGTTGGTCTATCCATTTGGTTAAGGCAAATCAAGGAAGTAACGAAAATGCAGTTTCTTTTTGCAATACAGTGGAGAAGTAAGTAATAAAAAAACATTACTCAGTTAGCAGTGACATTTCACTTATTACTGATTGTGTGGGTTATCCCTGAACTCCTGAAGAGTGCCATAATTTCAATATCTGGTTACATGCAGAAATACGCCTAATTTTGGTTTAAAGATTAAAATAATAAATAATAAAAAATTTAAAAATGTTAATTCCAAACATGTTTTCTTACTTATCTGTCATGTTTTTCACTGATAAATACATTTAACTTTTCAGAGAATATAGTTTGTGAAATAAGTCTTATTTTCTTCCATTTACTTGAACAATATTAATGCCTGTGCAGGTCAAAGCAGGAGGAAGTACTGGAGGAACCAACTGACTGACAGCAGAATATCTTGATGAAATGCTGAATTTAGCAAGCCAGAAAAATACTTTTAATTATTGTTTACAGTTACAAGTTAATAGTGTTTCTTAATGGGATAGAGCACTTTTTTTTTTTTTTTTTTTTTTTTTACTTAATCTTTATTAGAATAAGAAACTGTTTAAAAACAGCAGCAGTAAGAAATGTATGTTTTTCAGATCGTCTGTGCAGTTTCATTCTCCATTGTAGATATTCACTGATAATACAATCAAGTTGTTAGCTCAAATGCATGTTTGGGGTTCCTTTTCCCCAGAAAATTAGCTGGAAAATATAACACCTTTTTAAAAATCAGTTTTTAATTAATTGATTGTATTTAAGGGCAACCAGCCTGTTTCTCTTAAAAGAAAGAAAAATTGTACCTTGTGATGCTCTCAAGTTAATAGTGAATGTATTTTAGATTCATAGAGTGGGTGGTTGGCCTCAAAACGTATTCAATCACATAGAATCATTGAATGGTTTGGGTTGGAAGGGTCCTTGAAGATCATCTAGTTCCAACTCCCCTGCTATAGGGGAGCTGACACGTATCTCAGATTGTTTCTTTTCCACAGTTCCTCAGTCTGAACCCTGTTCTTGACTGTGTCCACCTGACAGCCTTTCCTCTCAAGCATTAGATTTTATGTCCAAACATTATACATTTAACTTTGCAATCTGATTATTAAAAAAGTTTTCTTTTTTTTTTTTTCTCAATAAATGAGTTTATTTCTAAGGTTAAAAAGATGAATAGAATTAAGCCATTCCCGTTCTGCAGTACCTTGTTTAACATGCACCACTAGCAAGTACTCTTTTAATAGCAAAATAGGAATAGTCTTTGCTTTCTTGTGTCACACAAGAAGGTATTCTCAGGAGAAAATGTCATAACAAAAAAAAAGACCAAAAATATTCATCAGTTCACAAATAACTAATATTTTCTGTCTTAGCAGATGAGCATACTTCCATTCCCCACAGAATCTCAATAGCTGTCAGTTCTAATCAGAAGTGATTCAAACTCTGTTGTGTGAACTTTCAGCTCCAGCACGTAACTCAAATAGAAACTCATCATGTTTTCTTCTAGGTAATATTTGTACAGACAGTAGTCTATAATCGAAACATTTCATTGTACATACACAAACTTTAAAAGAGTTTTCTAAATCTATTTATCAGGTTTCTTTTACAATTATGGACATAGCCATAGTGAACGTTAATCCACAAATGCTTTCAGAATACATCTTTAAGTGTTTGATTCCAGAAGATGCCAGGCTGACAAGCCAAGTGCTCAGTGGTGCAAATACAGAGTTTTTTCAGCTGTTTTTGTCTTCAAAGATATGCTCTGCACTACAGAGAAATACTTGTGTTTTGCAATAGCAAATCCCTATAAATATCACTTGTTTCTGTAAATGACGATTTCCTACAGCGCAGAAAGTGGCGTGGGATTTCACACAATACTTCTACAGCACTTCAGTTATGCTTTGGAAGATCAAGTATTTCAGAATTCTGGGATGAACATGTTTTGCCCTCCAGTCCAGACCCAAAGGAAGCTCTTAATCAATTAAAGACAATGCATAGCCATAAACGCTTTCTGGAACTGAATATGTTTTTATCTAAAAGGCATAAAATGCAAATTTCTGATGCCATATAATCTTAAAAAATAGACCAACTGCAGGTAGGGAAAGAGGTGAGGTTTGCTTTGCTTTGAAATGCCTGCTGGCAAGTTGAGAGGGTGATGCATGCTTTGCAGGTCTACATAACCCATTAGTTTGATGCTGGAGAATAAGTAGTGAAGTTTTCTCTCTTATTCAGTCCTTGGCCTTCTTAGAGAAACAGGTAAAAAGAGGGAATTCAGTGCTAGGAGAAAGCTTTATGTGTACATTTCTCAGAAAAGAAATAGACTGACATCACATACAGAGGTCACCAAAGCAGCTTCTGTAATATAATGACTTTTTACTATGAGTATAAATCTATCTTACATACTAAAAGCATTGTCAAGCCTCATTTCCTCTTACTCCACTGAAACATCATGGCCTCTGACTTCTCATTATAAGAAATAGGCTGCTACACTGGATTATTAATTATGGAAGCCTAGGCTTTGTCTTCTTCCTCTTTATTCTTTTATATTTTTTTTGTTTTCCTTATTCTATAGAAATATATGGCATAAAAGAACAGTTCATACTGTTGAGAATTGCGCAGCAGCTCCAAGGCAAGGGGGCATAATAATGAAGAACTTTCTGTGAGAGAATCATAGCTCAAAATACGCTGTAATGAGAAAGTGTATTAAGTGCTGCCAGCTCAGTCACTACAAAATGCTGCTGAAGCTAACAAAGAACATGAGATGCTTAGTACAGGATGTTTGAGTTTAGCTACTAAAATATTCAGGCCAATTAGTGAAATGTAAAGCTTCAGCTGGTACAATGTGTACCGTTACCTGCAGCTGCAAAGTGTATTTGCTTAAAAAGCAAGTTTAATCTCAGCTGACAAACATAATACCTGTGACTAGTGTTCATTAGGAAGTGGCACCTCTGGAGAAATTAATTTCTGCAAGTCTTTGGTAATTGAAAGGAGGAGGGGCAATTTATTTTATAGGTAATGGTATATAAGATCAGAAGGACTTAGAGACTCTACTAGATACTGTGCTTTAAATACATTTACATAAATACCCAGGGTTTCAGTAATGAAGATTTCAGATTGGATCCTGGAGCAGAGGGAAAAGAGAGACTTCTTAAGATTTTGCATAGAAAGCATGTTCCTGTATTCATTTTGACCAGCTGTCCTATTCACAGCTGTCTGTGCACATGTTCTTGGTTAGCTTTATATTAAAACTCTGATATTAAAGCACATATTTCAGTACCCTCATTTCTACTGTTCTAGAATTCACATCACCATACACTGAAGTTTGTGCTTAAACTCCTTATGGATTCACTGAGGTTAGGCTCAGCAGTGGTCTTGTGAAGTTCTGTGAAGATTTGTACGGAAGGTTTTCATATTAAGTAAAGGGATATACAGTTATTTCACTAATGTACAAAAACATTTTCCTCTCTGCACAAAATTTAATTCCTGTCACTTTTCTAAATACTGTTATTGTTGGAATCTTGTAGAATTTTTGTTTTTCTTTTTTTGTTTTTATTCCTTTTAAAGCACAATTTCATCATGTCCTTTTCAGAATAAGAAACACCTATCCTGCTTGTGATTTGAAGACAAACACTGGAAAGATCTGGAGTGTTGCAACAAAGTTCCCAGACCACGTTCTTGATAAAATAAGATTCAGAATCAGTATCTGGACAGATTCTTCACCATCTCCTCTGCTTCTTACACAACATGGTAAATGATTGAAGTATCCATATGTTTCTGTTCCATTGAGATGATAACAAAATAAATTTGTTAACTGGAAAGATATTTAGAGAGTAAGCCTTACGTGAGTTCTGAGCACATTCATTCAATGAATTTGCCATAAAAGTAAAATCTCATAGTAAGTAAAATCTCAGCTTTGCTAATATGTAGATTCCTACTTTCTTTAATCATAATCAGGACCAATTCTGGTGGTATAAAATGCGGCCAACATTCAAGCTTTGGTTCATAAGAAAGTTAAGCTAATTTAAAATGTAAAGGTAGTCCCCATTCAGTCATGGAACTTTTCACATCATTAACTCTACTGCTAAACTGAAGACTTAAGAGTCTTTGATTGTTAAGACACCTCTGCACCCATGTTCATAAAATGACACGGGAGAAATCCCAGCTGGATGTAAGAAAAAGGACCATAATTGCAAATTGGAACAGTTTGCCCATAGAGGTCATGGAGTTTGCGTCCTTGGAGTTTTTTAAGATCTGGCAGGAGAAAACACAGAGCAAGATGATTTGAATTCAGTATTCACCCTCCTTCAGGCAGGAGACTAAATTAGATGGAATTCCTGAGGTTCGTCTCAACATGATTACTACTGTTTACAGGAAGCTGCCACTGCCACAGTGCATTCTGTACCCATAGTGAATGGGAGAAGCTTTGATTCCGTCTCTAGTAATTTTTACATCTTTATCCACAAATGGATAAAAGAAAGAAATAAAGAATAAATCCCCTCCATGCTGCTCATTATGTGATGTTTTGTGTATGCAAAGATTTTTTGACCATATTAATGGTCAAAATATTAATTAATAATTTAGCAAAGGATTCCACATTTATTTATACAAGCTTGGTTACTTGTATTTGTATTTGTACTTGTATTTGGAGCATCTCCACAGTTAATGGAAAGCCTGGAAAAATTTTGAATAATCTTCAATCAAAATTTTGTGAATACCATGATATTTAAGGCTAAAGGTCTTGGGCCATTTGGAACAGAATGGTTGAAGTACAGTGTTTTCTCCCATCTAACATAAAGAATGGAAAGAATTGTTCTAGAAGAACTGGCAAAGAAAGGAAAAAAAAATAGATCTCAGAGTACAAATAAATGATGGTTACATGTTTCAGTTCTTTTTTCCAGAATGATTTGATCAATATGCATCTTATGATCTTAATTCAAGATTCTGTACCTTTCTCCTTTCTCTGGTGTGGGTAAATTTAACAAAAAAGCTTTGCAGTTCACATATCAAAGTACCTATGAGGACTTGATGAAGAAAGCAAGTTTTCAAAGAGCTGGTTACTTAATACCAGTAAACCTGATAGAAATTGTGTAATCTAGGGAAGAAAACTGTCCCTGTAGATAAAATGAAAACTTCCAAAAGGGAACTTCTGAATCTGGGACACTTTTCTTTAAAAATTACCTATGGTAATTAACTCTTTTATTTCATTTTTTTTTTCCTTTCTTTTTTTTTTTCTTAACTTTCTTAATTGCAACTACCTTCTCTAAAAATGTTAGCAATTCTCTGATGATTTTTCAGTATCGCTTTCCCTTAAACTTCCCTGCAGAAACAATTCTGCATTTCTTGGTTTGTTTTAAAATAATCCTGTCGAAATTCTCGGCCAGGTTTGCCAGTGTGACTTTGTTGATTCAGAAAACTATTAAACTCAATGGAAAGTGAATGATTAGACAGTTTGCAACTGATGACTGAATCTGGAGCAGTGTAAAAAAGTCAACACAGAAATGTGAATTCCACATTCAATTTTTGTGGAATTTATTTAACTGTGACTACTTTCCATTTCTTACATGGAAGAGTTCACTTGAAACTTATATTGAAAGCTCCTGGAGCCACTTGTTTTGAAGAGATAAGGAAATACCAAGAATGGAAAAGAAAGGAAAATCTGCTTTGGCTTTTCTAAGTTTCTATTGCAGACAGTGAGATTGCCTTGGAATTGTGGAAGAAGTTCAGACTTTATCTTCCATTGCGAAACCACCTCGATACAAAAACTTTTCACTGAAAAGTCAGAAGTGGTTTCTGCTAAAGAGAGGTATCTCCGGTTTGAAGCATCAGTGCTGCTGGAGTACACACTGTATGCCTATAAAGAGCAAACCTATGAGGCATACTTGAAATCTGACTACCACATTATTGTTTGCAGTTTTTGATCAGTTCTTCTTGTAGCTTTTACATTAGTTTGCTTCTTGATTATGACTAATTAAACTTACATACAATTACGAGAAAATTTTGGAGCCTCCCTGCAACAAAATCTCAACTTTTGCATTAGGCCATGTTCATACACAGGAAATGTACTGAGATACCCATTAGGAACATGGCTCAGTATTTACAGATTTAAAAGATCAACTATTCACTACTTCCTTTTTTTGGGGGGGGGGCGGTGGGAAGGAGAGTCATTCGGCACTTCATTCCAGTTACCTACTAATCAGTTAGTTTTCTATAAATGGACATTGATTCTGTTAGATGTGGAGTATTTAAAGCAAAATAAATAAAATCAGATGTGGCTTGTTCTAATTCCTCTTGAAACTAGTCTCCAGCAATAGTAACCAATTAGAAATAAATTCTCATTTAGTTAAGAATGCAGCCTGAAATTCTCTAGCAAGCTACTATAAATTTTTCTTGCTATCTTTATTTAAAGCTGGATGTATCACTCATGACTTAATTGCGGAGATCCTCCGTTGCACAAATCAATACCCAGTCCATGATGAATGTCTTCTAAGTGTTTGTGGCTCTGATGAATTCTTACAAAAGTAAGTATTTAATTAAGAGGTTGTATTGATTATGTATTGCATAATATAAACTGTGCATGGAATACACTTTGCTTATGTGCTTTGTAAACACAGGCATAGAGAAAGTTAAGAGTATTATGTTCTGAACATGTGTAGTTGCTTAAATACCTGGATCACATTGTACAAGAATCACAGCTCATCTGCTGGAGAGATGAAGTGCTAGATAAAATAATATATTTTTGTAATATAAAGGGAATATTTTAGAAGCTATCTTGTTCTCAGTATAAAGATTACTGGAACTAGCCAAGAGCAAGACAGCTTGAGTAATAAAAGTAATGTAGTCTTCAGAGGAATTAAATGACACACAGCGCAACATAGCCAGTTTGTACACTTCTGTGCTTACACAGGTAAGCAAGTCAAGTGTTCAGATGTTTCCATTCAATTATAGTTTGCTACTGAAGATGGAGACATTAACATTCCCAATCCCTCTCTTTACTTGCTCAAATCTCTGCAAAGCAGGAGCTGGAATAACAGAGCACCTCCTGAAAAGCTGCAATACTATAACCACTGAGCAGGGAATCAGGCCATACGTAGATCCCATTACATGAGATGGCCTGGGCTGCTGGGGTTTTGGTGTGTTGTTTTTTTGTTTTAGATTTTTTTTTTTTTTTCCATGTCTCTTCTCATTTCATATTAATTTCCAAAGAAAAGGGAAATAATGAGCCTTTGTGTTGAGAGTGAGCTCAGCATTTCAGTGTAGTGTACAGCATGTTCTAAATAGTTTTATTTTCACTGTTGAGCACAACTCATCAATAGTGGACTGTTTAAATTCCTGCACTTGCAGAATCTATGCATGTCTCATTAGCAGTGACACAAGGTCAATGATGTTCTCATCTTTTTTTCCTTTGCTCCTTCACTGTCTTGCAGGCAGGACAGGGCTGCACTTCTGGCTTCAGCAGCTTGTAATTTTACTCTGCACTGTAATAATTCAGCTTCCTTTCTTCTGCCTCCCCATCAGAGTCCCGAATCTGAAATTTGAAACCCTAAACTAAAATCATCCCATGGGTAGCTTAACAGCCTGTGGAGTTGCCTCAGGGTTAATTTTTTTCCTATGCCTCGGCTATCTGTTAGAGCAAATTGCTTTCCATACTATGTTGCTAACAGAGCAATTTGAGCAGAGTTCTTCCATACTAGAGTGCATGGAAATCATTAGGGATGAATTCCAATAGAAATTCCCAAAATTATGAGATAGCATAGAAAATTAATACTTTGCTGCTCCTGCTTTATTGTAATCTTGGAAAAAAAAAAAAGTGAAGCCAAAATGGTGACATGATGAATTATTCTTAGACCAGACTGGTTTAGGGAGTCAGATGACATTGTGTAATCTGTCAGAAGCTTTTATCTGCTGTTATATTGGACTGTATTAATGAGCATGCCATCGTGCCTCCTGCAGAAGCACCTGAAAGACTTGATTACTTCCAGAATCCATTTAGCTTTCAGTAGGATGGGGAACAAATACTCATGAAGTGGTGACAGTTACACTTTACACTGCAAAATGTTATCATTCATTATTCCTTTAGTATGGAGACAGCCTTGAGTGCACATCCAGTCTGATTCACAAGGGATTTCAAATACTCAAATATTTAAAAAGTCAGAAACTTGTACATAGATTGCAGTTAAGACCATAACTAATAGAGCAGTATGCGAAACTCTGATTTGGAATCTCCTTGGTTTCTGATTTATTTATTTATTTATCTATCTATCTATCTATCTATCTATCTACCTATCTATCTATCTATCTTATCCCTAATGATTTCCATATACTCTGCTATGGAAGAACTCTGCACAAATTGCTCTGTTAGCAACATAGTATGGAAAGGAATTTGCTCTAACAGATAGCCCAGTCATAGCGAAAAAAAAATATTTATTTATTTATTACTGATCAGTAATAATAGCCTTGCCTCAAACCACAGGCTTTCTTTTTCTTCCTACACTTCTTTTTCCTGCAAGGTTTTCTTGCAGCATCTGTAGTGTGCTATCAGGAACCATCGCCACCTTCTCCCTGCACCTTTTGTCACCATAAGGTGAATGTTAATAGCTTCCCCAGCTCATTTCACACACTTATTTTTTTCACATGTTCACTGTAAATGCATCTGGATGCAGAGCATTGCCCTTGAAAGAAAAGAGGAGTAAAAATCTTTCTCATCAATTTTTACCACTGTTTGCATCCATAGCTTAGTTCTGCCTTCTGTCTCTGTGTTTGCTAACTGAGGCTGTTGTCTCCACTCCTTTACACTTGTCCTGTTCTTGATCTTCATTTCTTGGAGGGCCATTTATTATTTCTGAAAATCTTCTCTTTGTCATTCCTTGTCCCAAGTCTTATACATCTACTTTTAAATTTTGCTTTTAGTTTCCCATATCTCTTTAATTTTAGAATGTATGCCCCGAAAAATGATTTTGTGATGCCCTTTATGAAAGATGTTAAATAAAAGTAAATTATACTGTGATTAAGCAGCTAGTATCAAATAACTCAATGCCAGCAGCAAGTCAAAAAAAAGCCCTTGCCATCTGAAAGCAATGAATCAATCTTCCATTTAGACTATTTTTTGCCTTTGGAGCTGCAGACCAGAAGCTCAGGGCATCCTGAGGTGCCTAATAGAACAATGTATGTGCCTGTATGTAAGAATTTTGGACTCTTGTTTATTGATCTGTCTGTTGTTAATAAAGAGAAGTTGCAATGCAGACCCAGCAATGGCTGTCATCCAGGAATGGTTATAAGCTTTATTTCTAAACATATATCTTTTTACTTTATTTTTGAAGGTATCAGATTTTTTAATATACCTTTTTTCCTATGTATTTTTAATGCCATCTACATTCTACCGTGGTGTAACATTCACATTACCTTATTGCTTTGCAGTTCAGTCAACACAGAGAGCAGGAGTTTGGAACAGAAACAACTAATGCTTATCATTTATACTCTAATGCTTGTCTGTGACCTTACTGATGACCTTTTTTTTTTTTTTTTTTTTTTTTTTGCCTTGCTAATTATATTCTCTGAGAACTGAGACCTAAATAAGAATTGGTTTCCAGTCAAAGTTAAGTTTAAGCTATTAATTACAGGCTGGCCATAGTTATAATCAGGCAGATTGGGATCATTACAAGCAAGCACCTTTTGGATGAATAAAAAAAAATAAATCATTTTCTCTTGTCACTGTGGATTGTGTCTTATTCAGAGCTGCTTGCTACTCAGCTAAGTATTAAAAAAAAGCAGTCATCTGATGCTGGTGAAACTGCATTTGGATTAGGAGCTTGTAGCACGTGAGAGAACATTGATGAAGAGAGTCAAGATCATCTAGTGATGAGAGAATTCAAAGGGTGAGGGATTTTCCCTTTCTCTGCTTCAGATATATTGTGGGACCATAAGCAAGTCACTTTGATTTCTTCATTTCCTTGTCTCTTTAAGAGAAAGACTGTCTTTCACTTTGTCTTTTGTCATGGAGTTTTCGTCAAAGCTGTATTCCCCAGAAAATATTTCAGCAAAAATAGGGGGAAAACTGGTAATAATATGGCATTGTTTTGTATTTTCTTTACAGAGCTCAGAGCTCTTACAATGATAGTATCCTCGAAAAATGGCTATATTGCTTTTCTTTTTAGTACAGAGTAATAGATCTGCAAGAGTCCAGGCCTGGGGTATAGTTAGAAGATAGTCTGTCAATCCATGGCAAAATTTCACCACTGTTTTTGGTAGCTCACTATTTATGTAGGACAACTTTCCATTTAATTTTACAGAGATAAATTCATTTTGTCTAGTCTGCTGTGTCACAATATCTATAAAAAAATTATTTTTGCATTTGTGCAAATAAAATCCAGTCATAAAATCAACTGTAAGGCCAGTACATCTGCCTACAGCATTTCAGTCAGCATTGCTGTGTCAATAAAGGATTTGTTGATGTACAGTATCTGCCTGACACAGCAGAGCTAACACAAACCACTGTGAAGTGTAGTTATAACCGCAAAATTGAACTTTGGTGCAGTTATTTTGCCTGCAAGCATGATGAAGTGGAATAACAATGCTGATCAAAGTTTTTGTATGTCTGTGGTACAAAATTATAATCAAAGAGGAATGTTCTGTTAGTTTAAATTTGTTTGTTTTTTAGCATTGGCTTGGCTTAAAGTTGGGATTATAAGGGGAATCAACATGCTGGAGGAATCAGGGAAAAAGAGAGTGAGGACACAAAAGCATGTTTGTTTATAACCTTGTTGCTATAGTTGTCCTGAGACAGAAGGCAGGGCAGAATGGAAAGAGCAGAAATAATGTTGGGGTAAAATAAAGGAATGGTTGGGACTGTGAAGTCTGGGGGCAGCCTTGGATGCCGCAGCCGTGAGATAGTGGAGTTCAGGATCTTACATGGAAGAAACAAGGTGAAAAGTAGATGATTTAAACCCTGGATTTCAGGAGAGCTAGCTTTGACCTCTTCAAGGACTTACTTGAATGAATTCCATGAGCTAGAGCATTGGAAGCTAAGGGGACCCAAGATAACTGGCTGTCATTTAAGCACCACTTCTTCCAAGCTCAATATTGGTGTATCCGTAAGAGTAAGAAATCAGGCAGAGATGGCAGGAGATTCACATGGATGAGGTGGGAATGTTGTCAGGGCCTGCAGGGATGTGACAAGAAGGACTGAGGCCCACTTGGAATTAAATCTGGTGAGGGAGGTAAAGAACATCAAGAAATCTTTAAGTATGTCAACAGCAAAGGGAATACTAGGAAAAATGTGGGCCTGCTGCTGAAAGAACTAGAAAGTAACTAAAAACTTACTGAGTACTTTGCTTCAGTCTTCACTGCTAAGACTGCCCCTTGGGAATTCCAGAGTCTGGAGGTAAGAGAGAAAGTCTGGGGAAAGAGTCCTCCTTGTTGGAGGAGGATCTGATTAGAGATTGTCTAGGCAAACAATGCATACAAATCTATGAGCCCCAGTGTTATACACCCACAAGTACTGAGGTAGTTGGCAGAAGTGATCGCCAAACTGCACTCTATTGTCTTTGAAGGGTGTTGGAGAATGGAAGAGGTGCGTAAAGATTGAAGGAAGGCCAATTTCTCTCCAGTCTTCAACAATGTCAAAAAGGAGGAAACTACAGGTCAGTCAGCCTCACCTCCATCTCTGGGAAGGTGGTGGAACAACTTATTCTGCATGTTGTCTTCAAACAAATGGAAGAGAACAAGGTTATCGGTAGTCATCAACATGGGTCCACAAAGGGGAAATTACACTTGGCAGGTCTAGTGGCCTTCTTTGATGTCATCTCTGACTGGGTAGATGCAAGGATGTTGTGGATGTTGTGTACCTTGACTTCAGCAAGGCATTTGACTCTGTTTGCTATATCATTCTCATAGGTAATCTTTGGAAGTGTGAGATAGATGAGTGGACAGGGAGTGGATTGAGAACTGTCTGACTGGCAGAGCTCAGGGGATTGTAATCAATGGTACAGAGTCTAGGTTGGAGGCCTGTAATTGATAGTGTTCTGCAGGGGTTGATACTGGATCCAGTCTTGTTTAACATCTTCATCAATGACCTGAAAAAAGAAATAGAATGCACCTTTAGCAGGTTTGCTGATGACACAAAGCTGGGAGGAGTGGTTGACGCACCAGAAGGCTGTACTGCCATTCAGCAAGTCTAGAGTGTTGGGGGTGGAGGAACCTTATGAGGTTTTACACAAGGAAATGGAGAATCTTGCACCTGGGGAGGAATAAACTCATGCATCAGTACTGGTTAAGGGCTGAGCTGCTGGAAAGGAGCTCAGCAGAGAAGCACATGGATGTCCTCGCAGACGACAGGTTGGCCATGAGCCAACATTACAAGATACATGAATTTCTTGTAATTGTACAGATGGCAATTATGTGCAGCACATTTATTTATGTTTAACCATTCATTTGTGCTGAAGTCTTCTGCTGTTGTCTCTTCCCTACTTCATTCTCTTCATTCTTTCTGTGATCTATTCATAGAGGCAGGGATGGTTTTTTGGAAGTAAATTAAGCTGCTTTTATTTAGACATTCTATCAGAAGTCCTTCATAGGTAGAAAGAAACCTTCTACATCTGAATTCTGAGTACTCTATGATACTTAAAAAGAAGAGAAAGGAATCAGCTTTTTTTTCTTTCATAGTCCAGGGAGTTCTGAAACAACTTGCTTTTCTGAATCTGAATAAATACAGAATATTCCTTTTGACATTCTTGTGTCTGGAGCCTTAAAAGAAGCAGCATGAAACTAATTGAACACACACTCGAGTTGTAACTGATGATGCATATTAGCTTGTTTTGGCGATGAATTTGCCTTTGCAAAAATCAATGTCACTTTTCCCAGCTACTAATCCTAAAGGATTTTTTTTAATGTAAAAATATTGTTCCCTTAACTCTGCAATTAATTTTTGCATTACTTCATCTGATTAAAACAAGAAAAGGAAGGGAGATTCTAGAAATACTTTTGTTCCAAGTAGTTTTGATAGTGATAAACTAAAGTTGTATTATCTTGGCAACTTCTTCTAAGTTACAAGTGGACTAAAAGCTGCTCTGATGAGGCAAATAAGAAAAAAAGAACTTACCTGCTAATTAAAGTGTGCCTGACCGGCAGAGTACACTGTAGGAACCACTCCATAACCACTCTGTCTTAATGAGTAGATGTCTGTGTCTGACTTTAGCTGGCAAATGATTTGATGAGACAGAAAATTGACTTGCAGCTTCTTTTACTGTCTTTACGTGAGCTGCAAAGTGCTAGAACTTAGATTTCTTTGAGAATTGGGGGCCACCTGTCTTAACGTATGTGATTTCTAAGCCTATAGTTAATATTTGATTGTCAGATTGAGATTAAAACACTGCAAGTCATCCTACAGTGGTGCATGTATAACCACGGTACTTTGTACAGTTGCCCTAATTTGGGATTGAAGAATACATTAATAGTCTTAAAGTTTGAGAGTACAATGCAGTTTGTTTAGAATATTCTTTCTGTTTCATTGTTGTTCTTTTATAGAAATCAATGGCTGAAGTTATAACCACGTGTTTCACAAGGGAATAAGCCAGAACCAAACTCCATCAGTCTGCACAGATGTAGAAGCCAGGCTCTGATTTTATGTCATTCAATTTGCTTTGCACTGAGAATGTATTCCACCTGTTCTTTTAGGAGAATGACAGAAAAGGAAAATAATAGAAATGATAAGCAGAGATAACCATTTGTTTTCCTCCCCAAACTGTAGTAATCATAGTTTGGGCAGCCACGAGAGTCTTCGCAAGGCAACCACTGACATTCATCTTCATCTACACACCACTACAAATTTGAAGCAAAGTTTGGCTCGAATGGTAAGTCTGCTTTTTTTCATCCTCTTTCTTTCAGCATGCCTGAAGCAATAAAGTCCCACCAATCCTTTTATGTAGCAACCTGCAGTAATAATTAAAGAGATTATTTGCTTTTCTGTTTATACATATTTTATTGCCAAACTCTTGTTGAAACATACAGGGAAATCTCTCTGCTTTGCTCTTGTGTTTACATCTAATGTCTCACTGTAGAGAACGCACAGCTGAAAAAGATTAGAGGCAATCTTTTTAGAAAAAAATCATTTTTATTAGACTTTAATGATGCTAATGATTTCAGTTTGTTAAGGACACATTATTTTATATTGGTCTTTCTATGTTTTGAAATATAACAAGGGAAAAAAAGATATGGATTCTGGTCACTATTACTGACAGCCAAAGCCTGTTGAATTACAATATGTGTTTGTGCGTGTGTGAGGTGCCTTAGAATGTCTGTGTGTGTTTGTACACGTGCATATGCCCTTAGAGAAAACATCATTTTATCAGTTTAAGTTCAGAGAGATTTGTATTCAGGTTATTTGAGATTAAGTAGCCTTTGAAACAGATTGCTGAACTTTAATGACACTGATTTATGCTAATAAATGTGAATTTTATTCCCAGTGGACTGCCTTGAATTACCTCTAACACAAAGTTTGCAGTACAGCAGAAACTTTGATGTTCTGGACAGTTTTCACTGACAGCACTGATTCTCTTCACAGATGGTTCCAATTACCTGCTTTGAATAGGTGTGCTATCACTTTGGTCTGTCAAAATATGAGTTAGGTGATGCATACCTGACCAAAAATAAAAGGGGCATCCTTTTAACTTGTAAATGTCACCTAGATAAACTTCAAGTTCAAAATCATTAAGAAAGGAGTATTGTGAGGCCAAATATATATATTTTTTCTTCTTCTAGTTAACACTTCTACTATTCAATAAATAATCACAGAATAATCTCGTGCTAATTTGTAAAGCTATGGCTTAAATTATTGGCACTATTCACTGTAAATATTATTTATTTAATTATTTATTTGGGAAGACCATTGATTCTTCTTGGTAGAGCATTGCCCAAGAAGAAAGTAATATTAGGAAACACAGGAGTTTTCATCACCAGGTCACTTCTTCAAAAATGATTCAGATCAATGGATTGTCAACGTCGTGTTCTCAGACTAGAGTAAATTAGTTGATGTTTACATGTGCCTTTGGAAGGGAGTAAGGTGGTGCCCACCTTATGTGTCCTTTTTCAGCCTGCCTTCATTTACAGCAGTAAAAATAAGATATCTGGTGACCCTTGGAATTAGTTTTTTTCTTGAGAAGTAATACCTTATTGTCATTTAACTGTTGTTCAAATCGAGGCAGGAATCACTATAATTTCTATTGTCTGTGTTAATCGAGTAGTAAACTTAAACAGTGTAAAAAGTCCTTTCTTGGTGTTAGGTTTGTGACAGTACATCCTGTATTAAGAGGTGGGAAAAAATCTTTAATTATTTTTTTCATATCATGCTGCCAAACAAATCTGATTAAGTATAATTACAGACACATCTAAGTCTATGCAGAGGTAGATAGATCCTCTTTTAAGTCAGCACCTCTGTGAAACAGAAAAGGCATTATGGACCCTTCTGCTGGGTAGCTGCTAATCTCCATTATTTTCTGTGTGAGAATAAAAGTGATATGAATTAGAAGTTTGATAGAAAGACATTTTGTTACTTACATGCATACAGGATGTACTGAAGGTATTTTGAACATGAATGCACTGAAAAGTGGAGCCTGCAAACAGCTTGTCACATACTCTTTTTCAGGCTAACAAACCAATGATTGATTCTCTACAAGATGCTCTGTATTCAAATGAAAAAAAAAAACAAAAAAGCAACAAATCTCTTGTTTGCTGCATATGGATCTGCTGTTAGAATAGATTCTCAGAATTATTCGCTCTGGAACCTAAAGATATATATGTACAGAATTCTCTTCTGAGGATTAAAATCTTAACTTGTGTGCAAGGAAATCAGAACTCTACACCAACAGTGCAATACTTATTAAGGCACACTTTACATTGTGAAAATCTGGATGCAGTTAAAATTTCTATCTGTGTATGCAAATAAATATTTCACAATTATACTTAAAGATGATATAATCAGCTGCCTACAAGTTATATGCAATTAATTTTTTTTTAAATTGAGTATTTACAGTCTTTGGCCAGTAACTGTTTGCAATTCTTTTGTGAATTCATCTGAAAAACATATACTTGTTAAGGTGAATATTTGCTTTCTTTCATTCTGTGGGAAGCTAACTTTCTGTGTTATGATATATTCATAAAGAAGAAATTGTTTTGAACTGAGCAGTTGCAAGCAAGAAATTTGGCCTGAAGCTTTACTTGGAATCACAGACTTTTGAGCTAGTGCATGACCTTTAATTTGAATTTGTTTGTTTGCTTTTCAGTCATAAGATTTACAGCCTTAGTGCTCTTAAACAAAACTCATTTAAGACACCAAAATGCCAGATTCCTACACAATTCCAAACAGAACTTATGCAGAAGGCTTAAGGTTATCTTTGTATTATATAAATATATTGAAGCTCAGTTTCATTCCATGCAGAGAGACAAAGAGCGTCTCTTGTCAGGAGTGGGAAATTCTGCACCTTGTAGATTTTTTTCCCCACATTTTTTTAATGTACATTTATCAGCGTTACTGGTGCTAATGTTTTACCAAAAGTAATGAGTTGTGTGAACACTCTGAGGAAAGTGATGTCAGTGGTCCATCGTAAGTTTTTTTTTCCCCTTCATTTACATATTTATGTCATTTCAGAGGGACAGTGTAATACCTTAATTAGAATGGAACAATTTTCTTGTGTTTAAGTATCCACTGATATTGTGCAACTGCAAAAATCTCTATGTCCTATTAGCAAGCTCAAAGCCTCCTTCATCTCTGTTGCAGTTTGACAGGTCTAAAAATGAGGTTTAATATACAGCAATGCATTGTGGAGGCCAGGAGCAGAGACAGAGCAGCTCCTGACATTTCACGTTTCACAAAGACTTACAATTACCACATGGAATGATTATGAACAAACAAACAAAAATAGTCTGTCAAGAATTATTTCAGACAAATAACAAACTAGGAAGACAAATTAGCAGTGTTCTGGCCATTAGAAAAAATGTACTGTCACAAAGGATTTGTGGAACTGTAATTATTAACGTACAATAGGGTTTAACCGGGAAGGGTGACATTTTAAGATATCTTCAAGTGAATTATTGATCACTCCTTTATGATATCTGACATGGCTGTGAAAGCTTCAGGCCATACAGATACTTCAGGTTACTAATAATAGCAAAGAGCATGACCAGCTCTTGAGCTGCCATAAGTAATAGACCCAAATTTTTCCTCTGGCTTCAGGGCCTGTGAGAGAGCACTTGTAATAGAAGGAAGAGATTCTGCTTGCAGGCAGGGACACCAGCAGGTCTGTCTGGTCCAGACAAAAGCCACAGTATTTATTTTTGCTCTGGACACAGCCTCTGAATTTCTGGATGTACTGAAACCCACTCTAGCCACAGCAAAATGAAGGACCTGAGTTAGTCTACACTGAGCTCACAAATTCAATTTTATTGCTGCTGTTCTCTGGAACTTGCATCTTCAATGGTTGTAAAATGTATTTGAAAGTCACTGCATTAGAGGCTGTCTATGAAAAATATTTTTTTCTCATTCAGATAAAAAAATATGGGGAAATAATATGGACCTTTTTAAAGAGTTCTTTGGGAACACTTTGGGAATTTTTAGATGCAATAGAGTTTTTTGTTCCGTCTCAGATTGTTATGTGTATGTACAGCTACAGTTTTAAACTGTGTTTACTCTTAGAGAGAATTTGACCTGTGATCTGTAGAATCCATCAGAATTTTCTTCTTTGGAATATGTTACTTCATAGAAATCTGTAGTAATGTTGTAGTTTAATGTCACAAAAGCATATTCATATTTTGACAGCCCTTCCATGTATTAGGTACTTAGGTACTAAATAATTCACATTACTCACCTTTTATGGTAGACTATCAGATCCCCTAAAGCTCTGTGTTCATATCAGTCATATATCTAATTTCTCTCTAAGCATCAGGGCTCACTTCTTCATTGTATGTCATGTTTCCAAGTTCAACCCTCCCCATCCTTTAGCCTTCCTATTGTATGAGAGCAAGGAGGAAATTTGGTGTTTCTCAGGCTTGATCTGTATCTCCAGTCTTAGTACTTTTACTAAACATCTAGCTAATAATTAGCTAATCTAGCTAAAAGCAGAATTAGTGTGAATTAATTCACATTAAGCTCTTCACCAATAAGAGCCTATGGGCTGTTCTGCTCTCCTGCTTCTCAGTAACCTTGTCTTGTGGATTTTAAAGATCTGGATTCAATCATGAGTCAGAAGAAGGGCAGATTTTTCAGGATGTGGTGGTGACCTAATAAACAGGTAGTATATGCCTGGCATAGGCTCAGCTCCATCCATAGGCATTAAAGGAAGCAAATGTGTGTGGCAGGAGAAGAGACTATATCTGAAGAGAAACAGATTTGTTAAGCAGAATGCGTTAATGCAAATTCAGAGAATTGTTTAGGCTGGAAAAGGGTCTCTTGGGATGATATAGTCCAGTCCCCTTGATCAAGCAGAATCCCCAGCTAGCACCTGTGAACTGTACCTGGTCAGGTTCTGAATATCTCAGCAGATATTCCGACCTACTCTACAACCTGTCAGGGCAACATCTTCCAAACCCTGGCCACTCTTGCAATATTCTTTTACCTGTGTTAGGATAGCATTTCATGTGTTTTAATTTGTGTCCTGTTTTTCTTCTTCTGCTAGCAAGTGCTACTGAGAAAAGTCTGGCTCCCTTGACTTTATTTCCTCCCACCAGATATTTGTACACATTGATAAGGTCCCTCCTGAGCTTTCTGTTCTCCAGACTGAACAGAGTCCCAGCTCAGCCTCTCTTTTCTCAAGATGCTTTAGTCCAGTAATCATCTCTGTAACCCTTCAGTAAGAGAAGTCTCTTTAGAGAAGTTGCAAAGGATGGAACAGATGTTCTCCATTCTGTTCTCTCTGAAAAAAATGAGCAGCAGAGAGGTAGTTGATATAAACTAATTTCTGCTTCATTACTTGTATATAACTTGGTTGCAAAATAATGCTTTCTGCTATCTGTAAGAGGAGTGCAGAGCAGGGTTTATTGAGGCCTGACTGCAGTCTTAACTTATATGTAGATAGAAGGAACTAGTATGACAATATGGCTTGTTCTGCTATATAGCATTAGCTAGTGTAATATGACAGAGCTACCACATTAAATTTCTTGAAAGACCAATACATCTTGAAAGGAAAGGATTCCTAAAAGAGTTTGTCGAGTTTGGAAAATACTAAGAAAATCTGTCTAATGTATATTCATCCTATTGTAATTCTGTATCTCATTATATGCTTCTCTGCCACAGCATGAGGATGACCAAGGACAGTTCAGTGTGAATGAGCTGTTAGAGTATACTTGTGCGTGGAGACTGACTCGGTAAGAACACTGCCATTTAGTATTATTTCTGTTTATAGTTATTTGTATTGGTAGTGAGCGTTCTGACCCCAGAGGGCAATTCCAAGCCCTGATGAGCATAGGAATGATACTAAAGAGAAAGCAAGCTGATACTGTGTTTTTAGAATTTTCTTTTCAGACATTACTGATTGCTGAAGAAAAGTCAACAATTGTATATAGATCTAAAAAATTTTTCCCCATTCTCCCTCTTTCTTATTGTTGAGAGTTTCAATGGAGTTTTCATATTTCTCAAACTTTCATGGAATTGACAGAGAGGATTTTAAGAGTAAATACTGTGAAAATAATAGATTTATTTTCATTATCCTTGTGGTTTCACTGTTCAGTGATATTGTATTGTATTTCTTTTGTTCATGCTAGCTATAACGAATTTTAAACTTTGTACTCAAGTGCATCTGACTCTAAATCTAACCTGTCACGGATAAGCACTAAGTGAGATAGATTCCTCATTCAGCTTTCATTATAATCTGCTTCAAAAACTTAGAAAGAAGTGCTGTTTAATGCTTTTTGTAATGTTTTTCATCAATATGTCATAAAGTACTTCACCAAGGAAGTTAGGTGCCACAACTGTCATTTAACAGATGAAGGAGAAACCCAGCTGTGGGCTGTCCAAGACAAATGTTTGGTACTTATTGAATACCCATCTGGTTTCCTAGGAGCATGGTTCAAATTTCCATTCTGGTCTGTTGCTATATGGAGATTAAACTAATTATACAGTCTATATATGCACTGCTTATTCACTGTTTTATTTCTTGTCATGTAAATTATGTGACCTTTTTTATTGCAAAGAAGGTCTTCAGAGAGGATGTGTAATAAAAGATGTTGAGCTGCAAAACAGCTATGTTTCACAAGATTTCCTCTGATGCAGTAATGAATATCTGAAAGCATGGGCAGTAAATACTCTCTTCAATCACGAGTTCATTAAATACTGAAAAAGTAGAAACATGAACTGTGTTAGATTTCTTTTCTGCTTGTCCCATAGATTGTTGATAGTTGAGAGAAAATGTTTTCCAACAGTGATGATCTAGAAAGATCTGCAGTCAGACCGAATACTGTTGACTGCATTTCTAATTTATATGAGAAAAAAAGAGTTAGTAGCTAAGTGACAAAAGTTTGCTGACCATAATGTGCACAGAAGTTGCCTGTGGTGATTTGTAGAAGGATTTTACAGTACTGAGTTCTGTGTGTGATAAAATGGCAGATGAAATTTTGAAATGATAAATGTAGATAGGAAGAAAACAATGTTAAATTCTCATAAGAAGTCATAGGCTTTTAGATGAATTTTACCACCAGGAATGAGTTATTGGGGTTACAATTAATAGTTCTGAATGTCAGCTTGGTGCACAGCAGTTGTAAATAAAATAAAGCAAATGATGGGAATTATTATTAAAAGAATTAAAGCAAACAAACAATAAAAGAGAACAATATCATGCCACAGTATTGATTTATCTAGAATACAGTTGGCAGTTCTGATTCTTTCATTTTAAATGTGTTGTAATAGAACTTGAAGAAGTGGAGAAAAGGGCAGCAAGGATACACAAAGATATGAAATGCCTTTAATTTAAAGAAAAAATAAGATACAATGTTCTTCACCCTGATAAATATAAAAAACAGGGGTATGTTATAGATGTGAAATAAAAGAACTGAATATTGAGAATTGAGAATATGCATAGGAAAGGCTCATTTACTGTACCTTCCAATATAAGAATTAGGGAACAGGAAGTTAAAGTACAGGCAAGAGTAGGCACTTCTTTGTATTGATTCTAATTAAGTGTTGTCTGGACACAGTTCAGGCATATCTTCAAGGATGGAGACTTCACAGCCTTCCCAGATGATCTGTGTCAGTGCTCCTTCACCCTCACAGTGAAAAAGAGTTTCTCTGTGTTTAGATGGTACACCTTCTGTTGTAGTTTGTGCCCTTTGGTTTTGTCCTCTCGCAAGACACTGCTGGAAAGAGCCTACCTCTGTCTTCTTTGCACCTTCCCAATGTGTTTAAATTCATTGATCAAATCTTCTCTCATTGTTCTGTGCTCCAAGTTAAAGTCACAGCTCTCTCAGCCTTTCTTCCTAAGAGATGTTCCAATCTCTTGAACATCTTTGAGGTCCTCTATCTGTCCAGTATGTCCACCTCTCTCTTACTGGAGTGTGCAGAACTGGACACACAACTTGTCAGTGCTGAGCAGAGGGGAGGACCACCTTCTACAAGACACTGACAATATTTTTCCTGATACAGCCCAAGACACATCTAGCCTCTTTTTGCCACAAGCGTACATAGTTGGCTCATGTTCAGCAAGCTGTCCATGAGGACCCTCTAGGTCTTTTTCTGCAAAGCTGCTTTCTGATCAGTCAGCTTCCAGTATATATTGGTGCATGGATCTGTTCCTCCCCATGTTCAGGGCTTGGCGGAAAAGAAAAACTGTTTGAACTGCTTTGAGGCAATGTAAAAAGAACGAATAGAAACCTTACTTTTTAAATTACCAGGTTTGCTCTCACAGGTAAATGTGAACATATAAAACCAGCAGTGCCTATATGTCTTAACTCACTGATTTTCATAGCTTTAAAATCTAACACAATGTAAATTGTGAGTGTGTTAACCAAACTGCAACCCACTGAAGCTGAATTTGTTCCATAAACACAGAAATTCAGGTTCCAGTAACTATAACATGATGGTTAGTCTGATACATGCATTTAGGCAGAGCTCAGTTAGCTAGAATAGTTAAAATTGACTTTTAGATGGGAATCCAGGTGCCAAGAAATTGAAATATGAATTCTGTAAGTGTATGCTATATACAACTGTCTTATGCCTCACCATATAGACCAGCCAGAGACTAAGACTGTCTCTCCAATCTTATTTTACTTTTTTTTTTGCCTTTTCTTTTCAAAACTATTGTAGTATATTATCTTGCTAAAAGATCCAAAATTTTCTTAGCATCAAAGAAACAGCAAGTGTTTATTGATTGGTTAACATTGCCACATTAATGCACAGCTATCAAAGATGTTTAAGTATGTGGTATTACTTATAAAAATATGAGTATGATTACTTATCTAATAGGTTCAAGATAGTATCAGTAGAAGTGTTTTGATCACTCTTGCATGTTTTTTTTTTTTTAAATTATTGTGTAAAATTATGGCTGCTTTATGTAGAAAATTCTCTAGAGTAGAATAGAGTAATGGAAAATATGCTTTAAAATATATATATATATATATATATATATATATATATAAGAACAAGCACGCTAATAAACATGCTTAAATGTTTGCATCAAGACTATAGGGCAAGTTTATATGTCCAGAACTTATTCCAAGCTGGATATTGCTATAAAAATGATATTATGCCTGGAGACTTGGTCAAAGCAAAGCAACAACTTGTATTAGATATGATTTAACAGGATTACAGAAGGAATTGCCAGGCAGCTTCTCAATGCAGTAACTGCCTGGCTAGATAAGACTACTGCAGATTGCAAATAAGAAGCTGCAAGGGCAAACCATCTGTAGGAGGATGTAAACAGTAGGTATCTACACAGAAATGCACTCTGGTATTAGTGCAGAGGAGCCCTACCTCTTTTTGTACTCTGTGTGATGATTTCAGTAGAATTTCCTCATCTTTCCTCCTCTTGCAATACACTATATGATGAAACTCAAACAACATATAGTGCTACCTACACTTTAAGGCATACTTGCAATTCTAATCTCTCATAGCTCAGTTCAGCCAACGTAGATGCATAAGGACATACACAATTCTTCTACAAACTATAATCTGTTTGCTCTGAAGTAATCAAATACTTTCATGACTTTCAGACACCAGTCTGCAAAGGGTGGGAAATTCCCTCAAAGTGTTTTGATGAGAGAGAATCGTCATACATAAAAACAGTTGGAAGTAAAAGAGGAGGGAAAATGACAGGGAGAAAGTGGCACCTCAATATAAATAAATGATAAAGAAAGAAAATAAACCAAAGTTTCTACATTTCTATGAATACATGCATGTGCTTGAACTACTACACACATACCATCGAGGCAATAAGGAGTCTCTATTTCCAATGAGTTGGCGAGGCAGGGCGTGGAAGCTTGAATAAGGTTTCCCTACTATTTTCTGAAGACCTCACCCTACAGAGGAAGAGCTGGAGGTAGCTGTTAAGGAAAAAGGAAGGTGCATTCCTCAGTGCAGTAACTTTGGCCATGATGATCCCATGGACATCATTTTAAACAGCTACTACAACTGCATTTTTTAAAACACGGTGTGATTAGAAACAGAAAATGATGCAAGTGCTCCTTAGAAAGAAAAATTCTGTTTATTGTGTTTTTGTAGACAGCAGTTAGAACCGGTGGTTCTAAAATGGCAAGATTTACAGCTAACACATCAGTCCTGCAGAAAGATCTGCATTCTTATTCATACCCCAAAAGATTTTATTGAAGCTTTACTTGAGGCCCAGCAGTCTGCTCATGCAGACTTGGTAGTAACTTCTGTAGCTTGACAGAGGCATGGGGCTACTGTGCTGCAGATGTCGCCCTACAGAACTGATATGAGTTAAAGCAGTTTTCAGGACTGGATTGAATGACAGTGTAAAATAAATTCATGGCTGTGGTAATAGGATGGAAAATGCAGCTGGTGAAACATTTTGAGCATGTAAACTTTAGAACTGTAAGCAAATAAAGTTTAACGAATTCTGTAACTATCATGCCCTTTTTATCGTACACATTTTTATGCTTCTTACTCAGTATAGCCTTTTGAAATGGAGAGTTTCTCCAGGTGTTTTGCAGATGTTTTGTCCTGATACTCTGCAGCTTTACAGACTGAAGTGATTGAGAGACAAGGCATAATAGCATATAATTAAGTTTGTCTTTCAAAGTAACATTTAAGCACATGCTTAACCTTGTAGAAATAAATGGAATTTAGAGTTAGGTAGACACTTAAATAGCAAATCATTCTGAGAGTTCTTTCACTATGAAACATATACCCTCTTCATAAAGGAGAACTTGTACATCTATACCCTGGCCAATGTCCACCAGAACCACAGAGAACCAGGCTCAAGACTACTTGACATCTACTTAAATACTTGTCCTTATTCTGTATCAACAGGAAATCACTGTCAGTTAGGTTATTCTTGACTTTTAAAATGGAGAGCGTGGAAAAAATATTTTTTTATCCAATTGCTATTAATTTTGTGTTATTTTCTTTTTTCTAATTTCCAGAGAGAACCTTGTCGCAGCTCTTAGGAAATATAGAGGTCAAGTGGAGCATGTTTTGCAAAATGAGGTATTTGTTCTCAATCTGTTATTCCAAAAAAGCATTACCATTCTTTGTGAAAGGTATCTAATTATTAATCTGCTTCAAATGTGATTAAAGAGGACTTTTAATTAAGGCTATTCAACCTGACTTCAGAAGAGTATAAATTCTTTTAAGAAAACTTGTTTTGAGATTAAGAAGAAAATGTTACAAATTTAAAATATCACAGGTGACTGTTTCTAAGGAATCTGTAAATGAAATGAGTATCATTTGGGTTGAAAGTATAATATTTGAAATTAGTACAGATATAATGCACTGTGTATCTGCAATATTTGTCCTTGATTTTGCAAACTCCCAGGAAACTGTCTGCATCCTTGAGAGAGGTATATGTATATATTACTTGAGATTGTTTGAAAAGTTAGGTTTAGGCAGAAAAACTCATAAGAGCTTTTTTAAGTGGGCTGCCAATTGAATGTTATGTCCTTGAAGAAAATCTTAGCTATAATATTTCACGCAAAATTTAAACCTCAGAGGAAACCAAATACTTTCTTGATCTGAGTTTCAGATGGTCGTGCCAACTGGATTTTGAGAGTTTAGACTGAAAAGAAATCAGTTTTAACTCATTATGGATATTTTTGAAAAGTATGGTAAAAAATAATATTTTGTTTCAGAAATGTCACCTATACTCAGCCAACACACCAACCTTATATTTAAAAGAATTCTGACCACTAGATATTGCAGGGTAGTTTATGTAATTCATTCATACTTTAGTTCTGCTCAAGGCAGTTAAATATGGGGTTAATAACCTCAATATTTTTTTATATTTGTATTAATGACAGGTTCTAACCTTCTCATTACAGTCTGGATATAGAACTTAAGCTTGAAAACCAAATTTATATTGGTACAGCTTCCCCTTTTCAAGCATGAAATGGCTGAGTTAGAGAAATGGCTTTATCAGGACACTGACATGCTGTAGCTAACTGAAAAGAATGTTTATCAGCATGGAAACATGGAGAATATTTTATAGAAGAGCTTCTGCTTGTTTGGAGAATGTATTCCAAAATTTAAGAAAGTCATATAACTAACTGTACAATAAACACATTAATTTTTTGTTTATTTTCCTGAACATAGGGTACTTGATACTTATTAAGATGGCATTTTCTTTTTTTTAAGATTCAGATTTGTTTAAAAAATTCCCCAATGTATTTCTGATATTACTCCTCTAGGGATTTTTTTAATGTAATAATATGTAAATATCTGTACTTATTAATAATATTTAATAGTTTGATCTCTATGTTTCACAGAAAAGCCAGTTACAGAACTGCTCAGTCCACAGGTGTCAAACTGTTCAGCCACTCAGTCACTATTTTTAGAAGGAACATAGGTCTCTGCTGTCTCTCTCAGAGACTATAATGGGAATAAAATCACAATATCATAAAAATATCTGGAAGTTTGTAAATCATTTGGGTTCAAGTTTTCTTTGAAGTTTTTTTGGAATGCCTCTACAATCATGAAATTCAGACAAACACTCATTTTGCCTCAAGATCAGTCTTAGATACCAAATTTCTCAGTTTTCAACAAGATACGTTTTATGGAAGATAATTGGACTTCTTAGGGAGCTATTGATCACTGACAATTTAAACATAGCTGTAGATAGCTACAGATTAATGCTGGTTTTTTTTCTTTCTTTCTTTCTTTTTTTCTGCTATCAGCCACATAAAGTTGATTATGTGATTGAAGTAGCTAAAGCAATCTGCAGTGTCCTCTGCTTCGTGGAAACCAGAGAAATTACCAATGCAGTCAAGAAACTCCATGCAGCGGCGTTGGTGAAAACACAGGTAAAAATGAACTGAAGTCTTTCTAAGGCTGCCTTGATAAGCATTTGTCCAATTTTTTCTATGAAAGTGGAGCTTGAATAGGTGTCATGAATTTTCTGATTGACCAAGGCTGTTCTACTGTCTTGCTTCAATCTGACAAGTATTAGGAAGAGGCATTATAAACAGAGAAGATTTAACTTTGTATAACAGAGGAGCAAAAGAGGATGTGTCCCGTGTTCGACTGTAACTGACATGTTTCTGTGGTTGTTCTTATTTATTCCCAACAAACATATAGATATTTGCTTTGCTGCATAATCTGTACCAAATCATGGTACATAGTTTAGTGAAACTCCAGTTTCATGTAGTTAGCATTCCTTCTGTAAAATGTCTTTAAATTGTGACTTCTCTAGATGGAAATGTCTGTACTATTTATACAGAGAAGGACTAACATAACATAGTCCTGATTCTAGCTGTAATCTTCTTTCTTAAAACACTGAAGTTTTGTCTCCTGGGGTTATTGTAGAATTATGAACTGGGGCTTTGGGGAGTAGTATCTGTTCTCAGCTTTGTCATCAGCTTCTTTAGGGTGACCCGGAAAGGTCACTGAGGACCTGATTTACAGAAAGTCTGAGTACCCTAAATTCATTTGAAGTCAGCAACTTGGAAATACAATGCTCAGCAAATTTGAAAATCAAGCCATTAATCACCTGGATTTAGTCTGGTGTAACCTTAAGTCATGTTAATTCTTTTCCACCCTAATGACGTTCCTCTTCAAACATTTTTATAACAATTTTAATAAGAAGTAAAGGGTATTTTTTTCTTTCCTACTCTGGTCTATTTCTTATCATTCTTTCTTACAGCAAATATCATTAAGAAATATATGCTTTGTTGAGCAAGATGCTTACTTTCTCAGGCCACTGCCTTCTTACAAAGCTGTTCTTTTTCTTTATAGATTTTTGTCCTATGGCTATGTGTAAAAATACCTGGAAAAGTAAATGACAGGCTAACTAGTGTTAGCTGGGTTAACTAGTGAATGTTAATTAAAGATGCTTAGCTGCATAAAACAAAGTATTTAATTATGTCTGATAGGCAGCTTGAGGTCTCAAACATAAGTCTGGGGAAAGCTAACAATTATTTTTCTAAAATTTCTCATGTCATTGCAGTGAACATACAGCAAATTAATTATATTTTGTCATCCGTATATACTTACACTCAACAGGTTCAAATCCTTATAATGCTCATCACTTTACAGGGCAAAACACTTACTGAGAGGTAAGAAGACTGCCATTTTAAGTGACTTGCATATTGCTTATAAAATCTCTTAAATCTCTGTATTTTTAGTCTGTTTATTCCTCTTATATGTTGCAGTGGAGGTAGAGAGAGGCAATAACTTCAGTTTTGGCCCAAGGAAATAATCTGTTGATTAAGTGTCTTTTCTTGCTTTTCTTTCAAGGTTATGTTTCACTGTAAATCTTGTTTGCATAGTATCCTAAATCTTTTTATGCCTACTTCAGCATCAGTTATTAGAAATCTCTATTCTCAAGTAATTGCCAACATAAACAGGTTTATTAGAATGCACATTTTATCTGGTATGATTTAAATGGAAATTAAAGAAGAGTTCTTTTTGTGATCAAATTAGAAAAATAGATAAAAAATAACAGGGGCTTCACATGGTCTGCTTTTCAGTTAGACCTCAGGCTATCCTGCAAGACATCAAGATGATCATCATCTATCCCTTGAGAAAAGTATTTTGTAAACCAGAATCTTCCTTAAAAGATGGATAAAGAGCTTAGTTCTGTAAACAGAGAAAGTAACAGACGACAACGGTCTCTTTCAGGAAGGAATCAGAGCAGAAATAAAATACTGGAAGTACTGGCACTAATTTGTTAAAAGCCTTGTTTTGGAATGAATGGAAATTGTTTTTAGGGTGTTTTCTGTTTGTGTATTTTCTCTTTGTTTATTCAGGTCAGCTCTATGAATCCAACATGTAAACTGCCTGATATGGTTGGTTTACGTTTATTGAGTATCCTTGAGTCTGCTTTCTATCCCATCTCTCTGAGTTCCAAACAATAAATAAACAAATAAATAAATAAAATAACTTTAAAAGCATGGTTCCCAGCATGTATCTAATCTGGGGAATTTCCTTCTCTGCTGTATGGACAGTCTCTACAGCAGTAATCCAGGTTCTTCTGAACCAACTTCTGTATACTTCCTGTCACATAGGGATAATATTATTTTCTTTTTCTGTCTTATCTATTTAAATTATGAGCTTTTCAGAGCAAGGAATGCTTTTCCTTATCTGTATGTACAGTCTCCAGCATAGTACAGTGCAAGTCCTGTCTGAAATCTCCAGAGGATGATACTGATAAGCAGTGGTGATTATGATAATGGTTGTGTTTGCTCATCTGTAATGAGAGAAATGATACTGCTCCTGAATACCATATTTTGAATGTTAAAAACACTGTACTGGTTGAATATTTTATTACCAGTCTTAAAATATTTTTCTATCCTAATAACCCTATGAGGGGCTGCTTATCTTCACATTTCAAATGGAGAATAGACTAAATGGTTACTTTTTTTTTTAATAAGAGAAATATAGTTTTAAGTTGTTGAGTTTTTTGTTCTTTTAACATTTCCTTTCAGCGTTAGCTAGCTCAACTTCTTGTCTGTCCCTTGAAACCTTTATGTAAAGGCTGCCTATGACCTTTTCTGACACCCCTCTCTCACTCGTCCCTTACCTGGTGAAGCAGACCTGACTAACAGCTGACTTCAAATAAATTGAGGGAGGGAGAGTCAAACTGTTCCTGAACCAGCAAACACTTGCTGCTATAAGCTTCTTATTCCTTTGAGAAATAAGTGCTAGGGCAGCCTATTAGACTTTGACAATCTGTGAAAAAGTTTAGGTTTGATTTTATGAAAATCTTCATCTCACTCAGCAGCCACTGAATTATAAATGTCATGAAAAGCAGTAAAATATATTTCTGCATGTTCTATAGCTCAAACATCACTCCAATTTATAAAATACAGATTACACTTTATATGAAACTACTTTATATATATATATGACTATGAATATATAACTATGTTACTATAGGGTAATATTTAAATATAACTAATCAGATTTTATTTATGTTTATCAATACTTATACAAAGACAATATACCAGCTCTCTTTCCTGTATCAACATATGTAGCCAGAATTAGCAGTCAGAGATTGGATACTTCATGGAGTACCAGCTCCTACAGTTGCTGTTCAAGTCAACCTCAAACTGAAGTATAGGGACATTTTAAGTGAATTCTGAGTACTGGTGAAATGATTAAATTGTGCAATATTTGCCTATCCTGTCAGTCTGCTTTGTGTTTCCATTATGCTCATCACCACAGCATCCCCAAGACTTTTTGTTAGGTTAGAAGAGTGGAAAGGTTCTTAACTATTACAAAGATCTCCCTTTTATCCAGGCAAGCAATTAACTTGTATAGCAACCACAATGAAATTTTTCAGGCTCCCTATCACATGTCAGTGATGTGTTGTTACATACTGGGTAAGAGTGAAATGCCAATAGAGAAATTCTAATTGCTTTTTCACCATGGTGTCTTGAGAATTTAGTGTAATGTATGATGTGGATTTGTGTGGAACACCTTTTTACATTTCCACTTGGCAAGCTCCATGTACACATACGGCCTCAGGGAAGCTACTGCTCACTCCTTCCAATGTAAATTACATAGGATGCAGTACACATTTGTGTATACATATCTGTACATACGAGCTTGTTACTTAAAGAAAAAAAAAATTCTGTGGTTCTATTTAATTGCTATTTTATGGTCAAACAATAGCAGAACAACAATCAAAAACCATAAACTTTCTCCAAATCATCTTCTGTGCATCCTTTCTGTCTCCTCCCTACCAGCACTGTGAATTCCTTCAGTGTGGCTAGCAGATTATGAAAGCAACTGGCATCAGTGATAGTTTCTTCTTGACTGATTGTGTCTCTTTATAAATGTGATTCATTCAGTCTCTAACCATCCTACCCTGGGGTTTTAGGCCTGCTGTACAATTAATGTTTTTCATTTCTTCTTTTTCTTCCTTTCTTATAGCAGCTCACAAAAAGTCCTACAAGATGAAATCCTGCCAGAACCAGCACTAATCCACTATATACCAAATGGGCTACACAGTGTTGAAATTATAAGCAGTGCTCCAAAGGTCATTTACTTTCCAAAATTTGAAAAAATTGAACAAAGGTCTCCATTCCCACTTGTCTTGCTGCATATAAAGACTGTGAAAACATTTCTCAACCTGCATGTTGCTTTTTTCCCCTCAAGTAGGCATTTGGCTGCTCCTCATAGTTACAAGACAAATGCTGGCAACTACAAGATTGGTACCCAAGGGAGGATGTACATCTAGCGTTGTGTTTCGTATGCCACTTCTGTGTGCACTGCCATTTTTAAGCCTCTTGCTGAGTGCATGTGTACTAACATGTAGCATTCTCACCTTGTTGCAGAAGGATTAATAACTTTAAAAGATAATAAATCCTACAAGGACATGTACTAAAACAGAGTGCATACTCTGGGCATACTAAAGTGTTGAATTAGCTTGACAGCCTCTCTGACTAAGATTCATACTTTTGTTATGTATTTCTATGTCAGCTTGGTAAATGTAAATCTGATGTAAGAGACAGACAAAATGGAGCAGGTGAAGATTTCAAGCTGAAGCCCAGCTTGGTACCAGGGACTGTGTGGTGATGGAAGATCTTCCTGTGTGAAGGGGAAAGTATATGTACTGCAGTGATACATAATTTTGTTCAGTGTCTGAGAAGCCCAGAGCAAAGTCTGGCTGATGTCAGTTACTGGACTTGGGGATTTAGTAAACAACTTTAAAAAAAAAAAGCATCTTTAGCCTTGTCCTTTCAGGTCAGATAACTGGCCCAACCTTTAAGAGAATGTAAGCACTCAGCAGTTCCCATCAACAACACTGGGCTGCCTGAAGTGAGAATCCAGATACAGCCTAGGATGTTAGGCATCAAAAGCCATGGTTAAAAACCAGGATCCTACATGTCCCTGGATCACTGGCGGATATTTCCTGTTCGCTGATTCTAGTTAGCTGTTTGCTTGAAGGACTTTGTAGGCATGTCTCTTTTTACTGATTTGATGCAGGAATGCAGGTAATACTTAGGCTGCCTGAACAGGGAGTTGGTGCTCCTCAGGTTGGAGAGATGGCTGGAGCCTTGGCTGGGTGTCATGGTTCACGTATGTGTATACAAGGTGTGCAAAGAAATTGAGCTTTTCTTATCTCTGCTATAGAAGTACAAAGGTTGAAAATGTTTCTGCATCCAAATGCTGATTAAGTGCTTCTTTGTGTCTTGGCATGTTTAAATACTGCCAGAAATCAGGTTCTGATTGACTTGCCTGGAACACTAGAGGAGGCAGGTGAAAGAGCCAGAAGGTGGGTCCTGCATCCAAGTCATAACCACTCTCCTCATAGCATCCTTCCCTGTTCTCATCCAAAACAGCTTTGTTTTCCACGAGTACTACTCCTAGCATAATTTTAACTGCTATCTGGTATTTTCTAAAGTAACTGATGACCTTTTCCCCTTGGGTTTTATTTTTCTAGGATTCATTGCAACGTGTGGAAGCACAAGGTAAAGGTAAAGCATTTTTTAAAAAATATGTTAATTCAAGTTATATCATAAGAAAACATGTTTTGCTGTTCATTTGTATTAATGACCTGTCTCAGTTGGTACATTGCAGATGTTTACATATTTATTTATAAGATAATTATGCTAAATAAAAAATACATTTATATAAAAATATAAATAAACCAGCATTTCCCCAAACTAATTTTGAGATTCAGATATGGAGAATGAGGTGTGATGAAAGAACATATTGTAGTTATTGGTGGTCATAGTAGCAATATTAATGCTATTATTAGTAGCTGTCCTTAATCCCAACATTTTCTGTAGAGAGAAGGAAAAATAAGGAACTTCCTGAAAACCTGAAAAAAATGTTTTTGTGTAGTTTTTATCCTCAACTCCAATAATTTTCCTTTCACTGTCTTTTCTTGTGTAAGCAGTGTGTTGTTAGGAATTATATACTGTTGTAAGAAGAGTAGACTAATTAGCAGTAATGGACAAAATCATATACTCTCCTTTATTTAATCCCTCAGATAAAATCAGCTTAGCATCTCTGGTCTGGTCCTGTTAGCATTACTGCACAGCACCACCCAGGCTGAGGGACAAGCAGGAGTCTGTTCTGTCGTGGGTGTCTGTCACATTTCTTGGGCTGATAGCCACCTATAGGGCTCAGGTCCTTTTCTACCTCTCTGTGGCTTGCAACCTGTACTCACAGAAGTATGCCAATGCTCTCAAAGGAGCTGCCCTCCAAATTTTGGGGTGAGCCATCACACTGTTATGGAGGCCTGTTTATTTTGATTGATGAAAAAGGTGGCCATTTGAGATCTAAGTCTTGTCCCTCCCCCCCTCTTACAGCTACTCTGGTTGCACTGTGCTCAGAGCGGCAAATAGGTGAACCAACCACAAAGATTGCAGCAGCCTTTCAAACACAGATGTGATTTAAATGCAGGGCTCCAAATGCCAAGCTTGTTGTTTCACCATTATTCAATTTCATGAACAGCAAACAAAGATTATATTTGTAGGCTGCCAGGAAAAGCTAAGCAACTAGGAGACCCAGGTGCAGAAGGGAGGAACTGGATGGTAAGGTGTTTGTAGGATTCTTCTCCCTTGGAGATAGCCATTTATTCCATTTAAACACTATTAATGGCAAAAATGTCTTGAGTACAGAAAGTAATTAATAGTTACTAATCAAAACTTGGCAATCACAAAGTGTTCAGAAAACCTCTCTGGAAAGGATTTAAAACATTCCTCTGCTTAAAGATATTTTCAGAGTTGAGCTTCACTGAATCAGCAGCTCTCTGCATCTATTTACTTATGCCAGGAAACCTTTAACTGTGAAGACTGATAATTCCATTTGTTCTTGGCACATCCAAATTTCCTAACAATTTCAGGATCCGTTCGGTAATATAATTTTAGAAAGTGCAACTTGCTGATTGCAAGTCAGAATTTTCCAGACCATTAGTAATTCTGTGGAGAAGCCTACATTCAAAGTTGTCCAGGGTGATCAAAATTCAATTACATGCACTGATATCCATTTCATGTATACTTTAACACAGTATGTGTATTACATTTAGACTTACTAACTAAACTTCTAAAAGACAACAAAATACCTAAAGCTAGGCCAACAAGTTTGAACTAAGAAGTCTATAGTAGCATAAAAGCTTGTGTTAAGTTATATCTGATTAAAACAAAATACAAGAGTATTGATCAAAAGTGATCTAGTGGAGCCTTGGTGTCACCCACAGGAAGTGAATAAAAGCATTCTAAGCATCTGTTTATTTTGGGATTATGAGCTTTCCTCAATCCTTCACCTTCATGAGAATTCCATGGTCTCTCCAATCTAGGAAGGCTGAGCCTAAGTTGTATTTTCACACACTGAGGCTAGAAGTAAAAATCACCTGGAAGGCGAAGTGTGCATTCCTGCTAAAACCATCTCTGTGTTTCCTTTTCTACCCCATTAGCTCCCAGCCCTGCAGACATGGAAAAAATTTGCCATGATGTAAAAGTAAAGTAAAATCATCTTAGTAAAAAAGTGAATTAAAATCATTTTTCCAGATCTTGGAGAAGTGTAAGAGTATGAGTTTTGCTATCTCTAGCAGCACAATTCAAAATAAAATCAGCACTGACAGTTGAAGAGAGGACAGACTGCAATTCCCATTTGTGCTGTTCTTTTCTGTCTCCTTTCTGTATTTATATTTATCTTCAAGAAAAAGGTATCAAACTCAAACGTAAAAGCAGCAGTTACTCCAGTAATTCTTCCTAATTTTCCTGCTTTCCCCCCCCAGTAAAAAGGATTAACAGAGGTTTAATGGTAGTCATTCACCATGGAATATGCAGGTCAGAGACTAATTCAAACTCTCAGTCCTTTATTTAGTGTTGCAATAATTGACTCTGTTAACAGTGTTATCTCTATAGACCAAATTATTCCATAGCTGTGAACAGAGCAGTACTCGTCCATGTTACATCTAAGTCTGGATCATGTTCTGTTCCCTTTGCATGAAGTCCTTAGAAAAATCATAGTAATATTTCAGCACTCCGCGTGTTATTTTTTTCTTTCTCCTTAAATTTGAGAAAAGCATTTTTAGAAATTTTCACCTTTCTGCAGCATGAAATTTTCCCAAAAGATAAATGAATCTATTCCAGTTAATAAAGATTTAGCATTCTGGCTTGTTGCAGTCTAGAATAGGAAAAAAGCAGGCTACAGACTGGTGCAGAACTACAGTCAGTGTGCCTTTCTGAAAAGCTGATGAATGAACATTTGTACAATATCTACAGCCTTGTGACTTCAGGCAGGGATTTTGGAGATCAGACACAATAAGCAGCTTTTGGAACTTGATCCATAGTTCTCTGGGACCCATCTCAGAAAGTCCAGTATGCACCATGAGCTGATGATGTTGAATCAGCAGCTTTTCCTGTCTGAACAGGATGGAGTTTTTATCTTTTTGAGAGAATGCAGAAAATAGATACCTTGATGACAATACATCTAAAGAAATTAAACTGTCATTACATTTAAGAGTGTAAAGGTTCACTGATGGTACTTTGGATTTGATAGTTTCTTCTAGACCTAGTCATAGAAGTATTTACTACAGAAAGTTTCAAAAAATAAAAAATAAAAATAAAAGGAGAAAGGAGGAAATGGGAGGTTTTGGTGGAATTTTCCTAGAAAAAAAAATGAAAATACATCTTTCTTTCCCTAGGACAGAGCTATTCTATATTTGTTTTTATTTGGAAAAATCACCTTTTATTTCAGAATACAGAAAAACATGAAGAGTTTTTTTAATTGGATTTCCTCTTTATAAGTCTCTTCTGTGTTTTTTTGTTTTTTGTTTTATTTTTTTAATTTGAGCGTGGCTCTCTATCTCTAAGTTGTTGCTATGTTACATCTTTATATGTTTTTCTGAGAGTCAAGATGTTATTTACTCAGGTTTATTTAATTAAGATCAATTTTCATATAACTAAATCCCCCAGTCCTCCAAAAAAAAATATATATGTTGATCCAAGTTAACAAGGCTTTATAAAAGATCCAGTTTTAGAAACGTTTTGGTTAAAAGGATAGCAGAAATTCTGTAAATTTATTTCAAGAGATAATTCAGAGGATTATTCAGCTGATAGGAGGAAACAACAACAAATATATTGGTGCTTGGAAACTGCATCTGATCAGTTTTTGCTTTACAGCCCTTTCATGTTTTGCTTTTTACTTATTATGGTGATTGTCTAATTAACATTGCTTTGCACCTCACCTGAATCTTGAGAGTGTATTGGTTTTTCCAAGACAGTGGGGTAGGAGGGAGAGAGAGGGAGACCAAAGTAGAATTCATGATCTTAATATTTTTCCTATCTCTAAAAATAAGTAAGAAAGAATAATATCAAGTTCATGTTTTCCAAAATAGCTTTAAGATGCCACAGGAATCTTAAGACTTCCATCTGAGTTATTTTCAACCATGTTTTACCTTGAGAAAATGTGTGTATGGAATCAGAAAGAGCATGTTTGATATGTACTAAATTGATGTCGTCTGCTAGCAAAGTGCTTACTCTGTTCAAAGATTTCATACTGAAATATGTGAATTGTAATACTGGAATGAGAAGAAATTATGTGGTTTTCTGTAAGGAATGAGCAGGTTTGCTCCTTGCAATCTCTAGAATTTACATGCAAGCATATTCATTAATGCTGTCAAAGATGGCGTGGGTGGTTCTTTTTCTCAAGGGAGAAATTCATTCCTTCAGACTTCACGTACAAGGAGCATATGTCATAAGCAAACATACCTGGCAACTGTGGTTAAAGTTTGTTTAACACCAGTTTCCACATAACTAAACCCACCTAATCCTCCAAAAAAAAACAGATAACTGGCTAAGAATGCCACACAAAGGATACAGTTGTAGAAACATTTTTGATACTCAGACTGCAGGAAAATTTAGATTTCTTGTGAAAAGAGCATGTCAGAAATAAACATATCTGGCAGCTGTGGATAAAAGTCACTTCTTGTGTTCTCATCTCATTTCCTCAGCGGAGAAAATGAGAGAGAAATCACCACAGAGAAGTTGATGCCAAATAATTCTAAACCAGAAATAAGTTGAGACTTGAGTTGTTGAGATTATAAATCTCAGTCACAGTTCACTTTAGGATGTGTTGTATTCATCATTCTCCTAGGTACTATGTGTGGGATACTTCCTAGAAAATAAACTGTGGCATAGCTAAAGCTGTAATCTACTATGGGAAGTCTATGGCCTTTGCAAGGTATATCAGTGAAACACCATAGATCCTTCTCGTCTAAAATTTATTAATCATAAAAGCAGTTAAGTTCTTTGACTTCAGTTCTTTGCAGTGAAAAGCTGCTGACCATCTCTTCTGCGAAATGGACACCTACAGACTCACTAAGGTGTTTGTCTCTAATTTGCTTAATTGCCATCAGGCTTAATGAATGAAGAGTGAGGGAGGAGGGGAGAGGGGTGACTGTGGCAAAGAAGCCACACGTAGGAAAAAGTACAGTAGCTGCAGACTAGGTCATACTTGATCATTTGCTTATGCCTCATGGAGCCTTATTTGTGAGAAGAATCATGCTAGGTCTCCTATAAATTAGATAAATAATGCTGAAATTTCATGAATTGAAAGAGAGAGAGGAGAAAACAGGAGAAAGAAAGAAAATAAATTTCCCAGTTTACTTCATAAGGAGTCTCATAGACAAACTGTCTGTAGCTGACTGAAGGCTCTCTGTCTCATCTAGCCATGTAGATATTTTAGGGTGAGCGGGTCTTTGATACCCAGGGAATCTTTTCAACTTACCACTGACATGAATAAATTATGTTACAAATAATTAAGAAAAAATATATATTTTTTTATTACTATTTTTTTTCTCCTCCAGTTTTGGGGCAGTCTGCTGACATTCTTTTTTGGACCTCTTAAGAATTCTTAAGAATGTTTTATATGTGTGACTATCAATAATTCATTGGAATGTAAAATAATTCAGTGCAGGTTAAACATTTAATTTGGAAGGTGCTCACTCACTGCACATCCAAGAGAGCTGGGTGTAAGAATAAAATGCTATCCAAGGGAAAATGCATTTGAGCTGAAGATTTATTCAGAACCCTTATAGAAAAAGATGGTGAATAGAGAAAATAGTAAAGATAGGAAACAAAAGGACAGTAAAAAAGATACACCAGCCACAGAAGTACATACTGAGTAAATAAACTAAGTTTTCTTAATCGATCTTAATTGATTAATCTTTAAAATTATTCTGCTCACATGTGTGGAGCACCACCTCCCTGGGCAGCCTGTGCCAGTACATTACCACTCTTTCAGATATATAATAATTCCTTTGCAGAGTGTTCCATGTATTTTGTGACTCAGTAATTCTAAATATTTGCTAGTTTAAAGGTGTGAAAGAAGTTCCAGACAAGGAATACATTTAAAGTCACTTTTAGTGACAAACTGAGCTAAGTCCAAGAATCATAGTGTCTGTATCTGCTCTTGGACAGGATGCTTTCAGTTATCCCCAATGTTAAAAGTGAATGCAAGCTAGTCTCATACTTTCTGTTCTTTGGAAAAAAATTTAATAGATACATGGCTCATAAATGGTTATTGAGTGCAGTAGCCAAACATACATTGGGAACTTAATGTAATGTTCTGAAGAGGACCAGAAAAGAATGGCATAAGGTGATGAGAGTACGTCCTTGATCACATAGAAAGCTGGGAGATATAGGGAGGGGAAAAGGAGAATTTTGGATATTTCTTTTGGAAGACAAATCACCTTGATCCTGGAACGGTATAAAGTTCTCTGGCACTTTCTTCTTCAAACTGTCCCTTGCCTGAGAAATAAGAGTGCTTGTACCAGCTCTCTTCACTCGATGGAGGCTGCCAGAGCTGGGGATTTTAATTTACAATGGCAATCAGATAGTCCCTAGCTGCTCCAGAAATGCAGAGAGGGAAGATGGATACAAGCCAGTAACTGCAGAAAAAGAGCACTGCAGACTCATGCCAAAGGAAATAGCATAAATAAAAGTGAAATATAATTGAGGGTACAGCCTGCATTTGATGTATCTGTGTAGATACATCTTTCAGTGTCTATCACTGTGGAATGTTTTGACCAATACATGACCATCTGAATGCTATATCTGATTGTGGCTGTTATTATATATATTTTTATGAGTTGTTTATCTGTATTTGCAATAGCTTTATAGTCTTAAAAGCTAACCAGTGCCTTTGCTCCTTTCTACTGCAACATTGCTATTTCCCTTGAACTAAGTAGCTATGTAGCTGCAGAAATTTCAAGATGCTTACAGAATATAAATCTTTCTAGTGCAAAAATTAACAGACTGAAATGATGTATCTGAAGCACACACTAACTTGCTGTAGTTTAAAAGGCTTACTCTGAAAATGCCTTAATTTGAAGGCACTGTAATGAAAGACTGCTAATGATACACCAGAAATGAGCTAAGGCTGGTTTCAGAAGCACAGATGGCTAATTGGCTTCAGTTGGTAGGTTATGTCATTTAAATTAAATTTTATTAGGAAGCATTTCAAAGCCATAACTGATGGTTTAAGATAAACATGCTTTATCACAAGTGACCTATTTCTAACCTTTCTTTGTTTCTTTCTCTCCTCTTAGCATTAATGGAAGCTGCTGTGACAGAGCTCTCCATGGCCATCTCTCATCTCATCCATGTATACAGCAGCAGCTTTGATATGGATTTTCAGGTTGCCAACATACCTAGAAGCCCTCCCCGTGCAGACATCAGTCTTGATTCCCAGCTCAGCTTCACTGTTTATGCAGCTCATAACATTCCTGAAGCCTGGGTGAACAGGTGGGAGAAAATCCAGCAACAGTTCACAAGAAGGGTGGTGCCTCATCTCTCCTAATCACATGTTTTTCATAGGTGCTAGCTAACATCTGTTGCTTTGGCAGTACTTCAGTATGAATGTTAAAGGCTGAGTGAGTGCATCTCCACCATTTTTATAGCATAAAGAGCACTTATGTAATCTGATCAGAAGTCCCCCATGTTTCATTCAGGAGAATCAAAGAGGTCTTAGCTGGTTACCCCAACCAATATGGACGTATGGTAACAAGCAAGGTCATCATGTTGAACTTGATGGGTATGTGAACAAACAATTGTGTCTCTGACTTGCTCAGAGAGGCAAAGAAAAGTGTTTGCACTTCATGCCAAGAGTTTGGATTGGAGCTTTCTATAGCCTTCACAGTACAAATGAGTGGAAGTGTTACTAAGCTAATCAGAGGGATGCTTGCTTGAACCCAATCTGAACGAGATTTTATCGGTAATTTTTGTTCCTTGTATATTCAAACAACATTACTTGGCTAAGCATATGCACTGACAAGCCCTACTGTGATAAAAATCAGCAGAGTTTATGGGTCAAAGTATACCATGTATTTTCATCTAGCAGAGGAAAGAAAAAAAAAAAAAGAGACAACTTTTAACAAAAAGCTGATTGAAATATTTTCTTCTGCACTTTTTTGTTTTGTTTGTTTCGTTCAAATAAGTTGTCTCTTCAAATAGATGCTTTTCCCCTGTAAAACTGGTGTTCTCCTTTTGCCACTCCAGTGCAGTCTGGTATTATTATTTTTATGAGTGAAAATGCTATTCTACAAGTGTTTTGTTATTACTTTCCCTTTCCTCCCACTCCACCTTGATTTCCAAATGACCGATTAAAAAGCAATGGGATCATTTGCATTAGACTGTGAACAAGAAAATGTACTATATCACATTAAAAGTAATTACCAATTAAATAAAAATCTGAGAGATTTACATTTGTTGAGGTAATAAATGGAAAACTATAATCACTATCCTGATATTGCAGATGGTTATACCATTCCCACTGCATTTTGTTTTACCGATGAAATGTGAAATTACATATGGCCTAAAATGCCACTGATGACTTGAACACTATATTCAAGCATGTGAAAATGAGGATCTCTCTTCCTTCTTAATCTCCTCTTCCAATCTTTCTAATACTTGTAACATGAGTTTCTTAACATAGACTGCAGTCCATTTCACCTACTTTCCTCAGATACTTTTACTAACTTCATTCATAGCGCATTCCTCCTCCTTATTTTCCACATTGCATGATTGTATGCTGGCTTTTTCCCAGCACTTCATTTTCCATTTATATATATATAGAGAGAGAGAGTATGAATTTAAGTGCTCCGAAAATAATGCTTACTACTTTATTATGTTAGTCTGCAACATCAGAGATAGATATTGGTGGTATGGCAGTAGAGGCTGAACTTTCTCACCAATATTCTGCTACATTTTGTTGCTGTGTATCAGATGGCAGCAGAGGGGCAGTCAGACATGGGAGTATGTATGATGCAATGGTGTGTCATTGAATTCCTCCATGTGGACAAAAATAGTACCCACTGACTTTATTGATACTTGCTGAATGTTTGTGAAGACCAAATAGTTGATATGAGTGCAATGTGGTGATGGGTATATGTCTCTTGTTCATTGCTCACAAAAATGCATAGCTAATGGTTGTGATTATGTTGAAAAATCATTCTTTGTAACTGAGGAAGTGCCTCATCAAGTAGCTTTATTGTGCTCTTTGAACCTGTTGTTGTTTCCATGGAAATAAATAGGTGCATTATATTTGGAGCAAGCCAGTATGTTAGAATTCTGACATCTCTTACAACTTGTCTCATTGTTTATCCAGACATACAAATTTGTGATAAATGATATTTTTTTCTAATCATTTGGGATAAGAGGGAGGGTCTTGTGTTTTACGTAATCATTTCAGTGTCTCACCAAATCCCTCTGGAGCTCCTTTTTGTAGATTGGTACTTTATCAATTTTTATATTCATGCTTACAATTTCTCATTTCAATCTTACTTCTTTAAAAAGGTAGTTGGAGACCTTATAAATTGTAAAACCAATTACCTTTCTGTACTGTATTTTTGTTTCTAGTTTCTTTTTTATCAGTTTTTTGTTTTGGCTCATATAGATCCCAATCAGATATTTACTATTTGATGCCAATGACATAATGTTTTGCTGCGTTTGTTTCTACACCCCTCAAATTCATATTGCTATCTATATCAGGATGATATGAAGTTATCTTTGGGACAAGACTAGATTTCCCTGCATTTGAATTCGTAGGGAGGGAGGATACCTAGGCAAAATATTGTATGAAGAAATACAATGTGTTGAAATGTGAATACTCTGAACTTAACATTGTGTAAGCATTAATCTTTTTAGGATTAGTGTTTATGGCATATAAACCAGGGATGTATCAGGGATTAAGCAATCCTTAATCACTTTATTGTATTAAAATTCATTATTTCCTTCACTATACTGCAATTGTTGGTAGTGTTTGGACTCTAGAGGGAAGATGCCATATTTAAGAGCTCAAGCATTTCCTGCACTTGTGAGGTAATTTTTTCTTTTCTTTGCATAAATACCTCAAAAGAACTACAGATTGTTAAAGAAAAAGAAGAAAGAGAAAAGGCACATCTGCTACAATAATTATAACAATTATTACAATGTTCTGGAAAAGATCAGCAATGATGCTTGTAAATAAAGCTAAGCCAGGCACTGTTAATCTGCAAATGCTTTAAACTTGCTTTCATCATTCCTGCACAGAACATGGTCTACTGCTCAGCATGGCAATTTTCCATAGGAAGATCTGGAAGTTACAAGATGAATTAAGGACACAGAACTAACAGATAGTTGGAGACTTGAATTACACTAGTCAGACAAATATGTGACAAATGCCAACACAGATGTCTTTAACGCATCTGCTATAATGAATGTATAGATTCCCTGAAGTATTATCCTGCGGGTTTTTTTGTTTTCTTTTCTTTATAGTTTTCTTACAGATTGGGTAAAGTATAAGTGAAGTTCCACTAATGACTGAACTTATATGATGAGAAAGTTGCAACACCTCACACCTTTTGCCTAAACTTCCATTGACTGCCATAAAGAAAAATAAATAAGGATTACATGTCTTAAGCACTTTCTTGAGCTCTATTTTTTTAAAATTAAACGTTAAATCTGATTTGTCATTTTAATTCTATTTGCATGTAAGAATGGATCTTCATAAGTTTCTGAACAGTTAACTCTGAATTTACTGTGCTGGAAATTACATTGTAATTATTTTTTTTCCCCTTTTTTCCTTTATAGATACAAACTTTTATCTTTTTCCTGTTTACTAACATATGCTGGGAAGACAATATGTCAAGTGAAGATTTGCAGAAATATACCTGTTAGAAAATCCTTCTTTTTCCTGACAGACTGGAATGAGAAGTAAGTTTTTATCTATGCTTTTCTGAAGATTTTACAAACTTAATATCAATTTGAAACAAACAAACAAACAAGCAAAGTCACATCTTTATTATTGATCTTCTGTGCAAATTAAATCCATAGAATTCAGAGAAATTTAGAGAGGTGGGAGCGGGAAAGGAATGTGATAGCCAGAGAGAGAAGTAGTGCTGGACTAAGGTTAGTCTAAGAATAAACTAAAATACGCAGGCCTGAGAATAGATTTTGTTCAGCTATTCACTGGGAGAATGCTGAAACTGAAAGGAGATACAAAAGGCCTTATTTCAGTTCTCATGAAGACTTTGCACTTCGGATTCACTTCTAGTAGATATGAAATCCAGCTTGAGAACCTGTTGTAAAATTTTTTTGATTCTTTATTTAGAAGGAACCTGATTGTGTTGATTTTCATATAAAAAGGATCTGCAGACTAGGTTTTAAATTGAAGTCCGTTAGTTTGAGTCTAGAATTCTTAAGTAGAGGCTGTCAGCTGCCTGTCTTGTGCCTGTCTGCTTTGAGGAAATTAACTCCATTTAAAAGCAGGACTCACACTTAAATAACATTCACTTAAGGCAATGAACTGACATAAAAGTCATACTTGCAATAGATGGAAGAGAGAAGTAGACGGGTTTTTGGGTTTTGTTTTTACGTCCCTGCGAATGACATTTTTATTTATAGTCTTTCAATTTTTTTTTAATGTTTTACATTACCATTTACTTTATTCTGAATCTGAAAGAAGCTTTATTACATTGTGATTGAATAAAGACTAAGATTCAAGACTAAGACCCGAAAGGGGTTTTGTTACCTTATAATTGAATACAAAGTGTTCGATTCATAAGTTTGATTGCCTCACTCTAAGACATATAACAGCTTGAAACTGGTAAAATGAAACAAGTTTCATCTCAAACCCACTGCACTTCTATCTTAATGGAAGTTTGTGCAGGCTTTTTACTCAATGCTTCTAAACAGATGTGGGATATTTAATATGTATGCCCTATAGTTAAGAAACAAAATGGGTGCATTTCTGCTACTAATATAATTAGTTCTTTTAGGACCTAACATCTTTGATGATAACTCAGTTGAGTCCAGAGAGTTTGTGATGAACCATCAGTCCTTTGAAGGAATGGTTATCTTTGTGTTGAAGATGTTGGATCATTCTCATTTGCGCTGTAGGAATTTTCACATTGCGCAGGTTATGATACATATGGGCAGATACAAAACTAAATTGTAGGGGAACTACATTGTTTATGAGTATTTTTGGCTTCCAAAAGGTGGCTGACTTATTTCTAGGATGCGTCTCATAGAACCTCTCTATAAAACAAGATATAAAATGACAGCAAAGAAATAAGTTCTTCACCCATGATTGAAACTTCACCTTTCTTCAATTTCTATGAAAATATGCAGAAATCATATGGAAGCTTCAGCATTTCTGTTCAAACCTCCCTTTCTTCAAAGTCTGTATGAAATTCAGTCAAAGAATGTCTTGGAAAAACAGTTAACTACACATACCAAATACTTCTATAGGTAGTTGTGAGAAGAAGTTAACACCATAAACAAGATACAGAATTGCATGAAACTTAATAAGAGGCCTGCTCCAGAAGCAATGCTTCCTGTTTTATTATGTTGGCCCACAACATCAGAGGAAGATGTTGGAGGCATGGCAGTTCAACCTTTCCATCAATTGCATTTTGTTGCTGTGTGACAGATGGCAGCAGAGGGATAGTTGGTCAGAATGGTATCTAACATGAAGTGTCTATGAAGGAAAGATGTATAACTGAATTCTTCCCTGTGGGAAACATGACACCCATTGACTTTCATTGACATATGCTGAATGTTTATGGAGACCAAACAGTGGATGTGAGCACAGTGAAGTTGTGGGTGGTGTGTTTAAGTAGTGGTGACAGCAATGTGGAAGACAAGCTACATTCAAAAACGGCCTTATATAGCTGTCACACCCTGAGATGAAGAGTATCTTAATCAACTCATCTGTGCAAATTGGTTTATTATGGCCGGGGAACTGTGTACAAAGCTAAATATTGGTTTAAATGTGTTGGAAATGATGGTGGTAACGTTGAAATGTTGCAGAGTTTGTGCCAGGTGAGTCCCATGAATGCTCACGCAGGAACAGAATGAAAATTGTATGCACGTATGTCAGGATCTCTTGAACCAGTATGAGGTGGAAGGTGATATTTGAATTGCATAATTACTGGTGATGAGATGAGGTGTCACTGCTATGATTCAAAGTTGCAGTCTGTGGAGTGGTAACTTGAAATTTTCCCATTAAAGAAAAAGTTCAAGACACAGCCATCAGCCGGGAAAGTGATGTTCACCATGTTTTGGAGTTGGAAAGGGTGATCCTTCTGATTTTTTGCAACCTGGGCAAACCTTCCACTCTGATCACTACAGCATAATGCTGTCTAAGCTGAAGTCTCACATTTTGAAAGTCAATCAAGTGAAGATCACCTTTCTCTTATAACATACTAACACCAGGCCCCATACTAGTTTGAAGATTGTGGAGTACGTTGCCAACCTTGGCTGGACTGTCCTACCACACTCACTGTGTAGTCTGGATTTGGTGCCTTCTGACATCTATCTGCTTGTGCTGATGAAAGATGAACTGTATAAGCAATATTTTCCTACCAATTATGCTGTCATTGCAGCTGTGAAACAGTGGGTCATTTCCACTGGTGCTGACTTTTGTGAGCATGGCATGCAGGCTCTTGTTCATCAATAATGAAGTCTATGGACTTTTTTTATAGTTCCTTGAATTTCAAAAATCATTTTCAAAATTTGAATCAATTCATTCAATCAAATCAAATTAATTACAAATTACAAAATCAAATAAGTCTAGCAGGCTTTTCTGTGTTTCCTTCAATCATGAACATGTATACCACCTGTTTGGCCCATATTTGTGTAAGCCTTAAATCATGAGGGCAAAGTTCTTGGACCGAATGAGATCCAGAAGCAAAGGCTGAGAGTCTAGGCAGACAGAAGTGACATTATTTTAGTATGCTTTATTTTGTATCTGGAACTGGTTTTTGCAAACAACAGTTATTTTTTAATCAGAATGCAAAGGTCAATTGGGATATTTTACACCAGCTAATAGTGTTACAGCTAGATTTTTCCCTCCTGTCTTTGAGTCACTAGAATATTCCTTGCTTACCAGGATAGATTTTATTCAGAATTGGATGCTTATTTAGTACATATTCCTTCTCTGTATCTAACAAAACACTTCAATCAAATGTTTTCACATAAAGAAAAGTGCTGACTTCTGTACTCAGTTGTACTTAACACAGTATGATTTTGATATTTTTTATGAATGTTAGTGAGGATATGATGCCAGCAGGTGTTTTCATTATGATGATATATAAAAGGAAGGAATTGTTTTTTTTTTCCATCTGTTTTTTGTTTTTAAATGTGAAATACTTGTCATAATGGGAAATTCTGTTGTTTGGGTTTTGTTGGCTTCTTTTTTTTTTTTTTTTTTTTTTTTGTTTGTTTGTTTGTTATTGGTGCTGATAACCCTCTAATAAAGAAGGAACAAACAGCGCCAAACTTGACAAAATAATCATTATATTCAGTTTTCTGAAACACAGAGAGAAGGAACAGTAAATGTGGTATTGCGTTGTTATTGAAGGTGTTATGTACCTAACTTGCAGAAGTTTAAAGCATACTGAAGAACAGGCTGGTTTGTCTTTCATACAATAATACATGCATAGAAAAACTCATTATTACTTTTTTGTAAGATACAGTCTGGAACAGATTAAAAATAGTGTATTTTAATGAAATAAGTATTACCACAGTTGTTCATATATGTCATGAATTGGCCCCCGTTTATTATTGTAGAAAGTCTGCATCACTAAAAACTGTCACCCATCTGTGTTTACTCTTGGTTATATTTTAGCTGTAAAGTCACTTTCTGAAAGAGAAGGGAATATGTTCACATAAAAATTTAAGAGAAGACGAGATTTTTTTTTTTTGCAAGATGTTTTGTCCTGAATTGTAAAGTGCTACTTTCATTGAAACCCATATGCTATTTCCTGAAATGAAACTGAAATGAAAATGCAGATGGTAGATGGCCATCAGGAAGAGGCTCCATTAGAATAGGAAGTCAGATATTCACTATAGAGTTAGAGATCAATCAGGATAAAAAATGAATCTACTTAATTGAAAACTGATTTTTCCTAAACAAGACAGAGAAATGGAGAGTGGTGCTTTGATGATTAGGAGCCCAGGGACATTGTTTTAACAAACAAACAAACAAACAAAGATATAAGATTTGCTATATTTGTTGGTATTCATTTATTTAGTTTGTGTTTTACACTGCTTTATCCAATTGGTGTTTGAACTTGGTAGGTTTGTGTTTAAATATTATCTTCTGATGAAGTCGTTTATCATCTCCAATAGAATGCCCTCAGATTTAAATTGTTTGATTCCTAAGAAGGTTGCCTCACATAGCATTTTTGTTGTTGCTGTTTGTCCTTTTTTAGGATTCTGTTCTTTGTTTTGTAATCTCTGTGTTTGAAAAATGAGTATCACTTCAGTGCAAAATTTGAACAGACTGATACTGTCTAGCACATAATGAACAAAGTCCCAAATTTCCCTGTTTCTTTTCACATCAGCTTCATTTTTAAATGCATGAAGCCTCTCCAGAATTTCCTTCCTTTTTTTCCTTTGCTGGCTGCTCTTCATGTCTTCATTCTACCACCTCCTCTTTTTTTCCATCCTCCGTAATTTATGTTAAACCTATAGACATAAAATGTGGAATTAGCATTAAGCCTACCATTCATCACCTCAGATATTTTCTTGGCTTTGGATTTCTTTTTCCCCATATTGTGTTTGGCTTGTATGTTTAGTTTATATTCTCCCTGGGCAAAGCCCTAGTTGCCTCAGAGCTTTCAGTGTTGTGTGCTCTTATGATGTTAGGGCCTTAGCCTTTGAAACCAGCTGTATAACATTACTTAACATCTGTAAACAGCACTTTCTCAGTTAGTAGCTTCTTTGTTCTTCTCAACTACTGCTGAAATTGATCATCCACAAAGTGTCTTGTTTCTGGCCACCTTTCCATTTCCTCTTTCCTCTTATCGGCCTTGTATCGGCCTCATGCAGTCAGAAATTATAATGCCAACTGAGTGAGCTTAGGCATCATTAAAACTAGTATAAATATTCCCTTTCCCTGTATATCATATATCACTGAAAGAAAATTTTTGGCCTTGTTTAAGTCTTGGGATGCCTAACTCTTACTTAAATCTCCAAGTTTTTTTCTTCATCTGTGTACATCTGGTAGTGCTATATCTTGTGTCCTAGGGAATCTCTGACAAGTGTTTGCTTTCTGCAAGGAAAAGGGTATTGAGAAGTTTATTTCACTTCTTCACATTCACAAATAGTGCTAACAAATTTCTATATTAGAAAACGCGTGGCTTTTCTTTTTCCTTCCACAGAAAATTTTAATCATGCTGTGAAGCTATAAATAGAGACATGTGGGAAGATAGTTGAGAACTGCTTCTCAAACCTATTTGTGTTAATTACAAATGATGGGAAATTGCTGTCTTGCTTTTTTACTCAGATGGACATATGCAAATTTGGATAATTTCCAAAATATTTTAGATTCATCTGAAATCTTGACACTAATGCTAATTTAGAGTACTTAAGAGTTTTAGCAAAAACATCTTCTTTGTAACAGTAACTCCTCAGTGCATTCAAGCAAACTTTCCTGGAATCAATAGAATTTTGACAGATTTTGAGTGAAATGAGTAGGATCAAAATCTTGTTTAAATTGAACATTACACTCTTATCTTGTCTCATTTCTGCTGCTCACAATCCTTATTTTTTCAGGCTACTATATTTTTAATACTAATTTCTACATTTATTTACTGTATCATTTTTTAAAAATGATGAAAGTTGAATTGTTTCCCTTTTAGATTGAATATGAAAATCACAGAATCATAGAATGGCCTGGGTTGAAAAGGACCACAATTATCATCTAGTTTCAACCCCCTGCTGTGTGCAGGGTCACCAACCAGCAGACCAGGCTGCCCAGAGCCACATCCAGCCTGGCCTTGAATGCCTCCAGGGATGGGGCATTCACAGCCTCCTTGGGCAACCTGTTCCAGTGCGTCACCACCCTCTCTGTGGAAAAACTTCCTTCTGATATCTAACCTAAACCTCCCCTGTCTCAGTTTAGAACCATTCCCCCTTGTTTTATCACTATCCACCCTCGTAAACACTCTTTCCCTCTCCTGATTATATGCCCCTTTCATGAATTGGAAGACCACACACAATATTAAATAATATTACATCAATTTTTATTCTGGTTTGTTTTAACTCGAGTTTATGCAGACGTTTTGTTTTCTTGACATTTTTGCTGTCAACACAAAAATAATTCTTTTAGCCCTTAGCTCCTTGATTTTGTTTATATAAAAAAAAAAGAAAAAGAAAAAAAAAAGTAACAAATCTCATTTTATGCTTGAGAAGTTTAAATTTTTTAACTTAAAAACCATCTACCACAGATATTCTCTTCAGGAAAAAGGAAATAAAATTTTGCACATGTCTGATTAATATCATATGTGATTCTACCATGTAGCATGAAAGTATCTCATTTATTACAATTGCTCTAAATTATGTTTGTAAATTGGTCATATAATCATATATATGTACAAATTGAATGACCAATCAAGTTTATTAGTAATCAATACGAAGCTGAGAAGAACACTCATGTACTAGAATTTTCTCATTAAAAATCATGAATTACTCATTTCTTTTACAACAAATTCTGCTTTTAAATTGTGCCTGAGAAATGCCACTCCACAGACATACACATAAACAAGAATGATTATCATACTTTACTTACAAAACATCTCATAGTTCTTAGTAGTAGTGTTTACTTCTGAAGACGCAAGCCAGCAAATTATTTGTTTACAATTCATGCTCAGGGAATGCTAGCACTGAAATAGCCCTCCACTGATAAATTAATACTATGCAAGATTTTAACTAGGGTTCTATGCTTCTTAAGTACTATCATGCAAGTTAGTGGCTGACAATACTTTACATGTGTGGCTGGTGTATTGAAGGGACCTATCAGTTACATTTTCCTTCACAACTGCCCTCCTGTAATTTATAGTTTGATATATGTGTTTAGGAATCCAGAGAAATGTGAAAAGATGTTACTTGTAACAAAACTAGATTTCTTCTTCTTTTTCCATTATTTTATTTTAGAATCAACTTTCCTCTACGGATAAAGGCTCTTCCAAGGGAAACGATGCTGACAATAAAACTACTTGGACTAAACAGTGCTTCTAAAACCACAGAGGTGCTTGGCTGGACATGTTGCCCATTGTATCAAAAAGAGTAAGTTCATTTTCATATGACGGTTAGTGAAAACACCATTCCTGAATAGTGTTACGCTCAGCTTGGGAAGAATACAAAAAGAAAGAAACACTAATTTCAAAACCTGGCTGACACTTACAATAAAATGCTCTTGATGTGCCTGTAAGAGCTCCACCCATAAGCTTTTCTTTCTTTTCAATACCTTGTTTTTGAACCTGGCTTGTGTAACTGTTTAATAAAGTAAAATTCATTTGGCCTGCTGAAAATCCATACTGAAATCTATTTCGTAGCTTTTCAAAATCTTTCCCACCATAACTTCCTGTTCACAATTGTGTGGGGTTTTTTTTCAGTTTGCTTTCCCTTCTCACTCCCATTCATTCTGCTTGGAGTTGGACAGGCAGTAATGTCTACAATGATCCCCTTTTAATCTACAGACAATTTAAGAAGCTTTCTTTTCTTTTTTAACCTCTTCATTCTACACATAGCATACTGTGATTTAACAATGCTTGTAGGCTTGAGTGTAGTGATGCATAAACCGTCATCTAAGATAAATTTTCTGCCTTACCATAAATATATTTTAATAGCACTGAGAAATCCAAGTTTAGATCAATCCATTATGATGATACTTAATTTTTATTTAGATTCATTGAGATATCTGAGTTTAGATCTATTACAATAAGTTATTTTTATTTGTCCCTTAGTCCTGCATGCCATAAAGTAAGATACACAACAGCAGACTAACTAAATGCATAGCTGCTCAAGTTGAGCAATAGATGAATATGTTCAAGCCCTACAAGCTTCTAAATAAGCATCTGTCTCTTATAGCTCTATAGCTATAGCTCTTTCCTCAACTTGAGCTATCTTTATCTACTTTCACATGTTGTGGTAGCTGCCATTAAAAACAAAACCAACCAAACAAAAAACCACAATTGATTGCATTTAGGCATTTACTATGTTAGGAAGGACCTTGGGTTCTATTGAACTTCTAGGCCAAGAGGCTTAAAACAGTAGACAGTAATTTAGACTTGGCTAGAGGTTTTTTCATATTTTCAGGAAAAAATTCAAGATTGCTGCATTAAAGAAAGGAGATCATTCTTTGACTGAATGATTAGAGGTCTTAGCTTGAATGAAAGCTTTCTATATGTTTCTTTCTATGAATCAAATCTCTTCTGCAAGGATTTCTTAGGCATTTTATTCAGTGTTTTTATTGATCTTTCATTAGGCTACTTGCAAGAAAAGCACATCACTCACCATCATTGTGTGTGCCTTTGAACTTGTTTTGCATATCTCTGCTATTCTGATGCTTAGAATGAAAAGGTACAGGGTACTATCTTAGTTGATAAGCTACCTGAAGATAAAGTGCTAACATGCCCTGAGCCCCAGCAAGCTAATGTGTGCTTAGTACACAGAAACAGAATATTAGCATGGTCACTTAACTGGGATTATTATTATTTATTTTTTTTTACCACTTTTCAGCATTTAAGTTCCAAATTAATGATATTTGAAAGTCCCCATTTCCCCATATTATGTATGTTGTAATGCCTACCTTCAGAGCAAGCATACCGATTTTCATTAGATAGATCTCCAAATCACCCAGGCAATTTCAGAACTCACCGGAAAATGGCTCCGTTGTTTCAAAGTACACACAATCAGCACAATGAAGGGGATACAGGGTTAGTTTCTTTTAATCTGCTGTATAATTGTACAGGTCATTGCTGAAATGACCCTTCAAAGCAGAAATAAAAGTTGAGTTGTTGGGTTTGGAATAATTTAGGAATAGATTGTTCAGTCAGTTTGCTATGTCACTTATAGCAATAATTAACATGAAGAAGCCTAAGTAATTTTTCCTCTTTTAGCCAATCACAACTCCATTCTCTATTATTTGAATTTATATACTGATTTAAAAATAAATGGAGTACTGAAACTCCTGAAATGTGAAACTTGAAATTCAGCCTGCTTTTCCTTTTTCTTGGAAGAGATGAATTTTTTTTTTTTTTTTTTTAATTTTTTTTTTTTCTAAACTAGCTCTCAAGGTTAATGACTTAGAGAGCAGCAAGATTAAAATTATTAGATGATTCTTAATAATTCTTAATTATTCTTAATAATTCTTAATGCTATCAATTAACTAAACTCTGTTCCCTCATGCTTGAAATGCAAGTAGATTTTGATTCGTTTCAGCAAGATACTTCTTAACATGAAAGTATATACCAAGAAAATGTTTGCACCTGTAGTTCCATACTAATGTGTTAAGAGTATCTTGTATTATTGTGAAGATTATGGTATTAGGATCAATAAATGAACAAATTCTGTAAACACGCATAAAAAGATTAAATGAATCTACCCAGGAAATCTCTAACAAAACTTTCCTGACTTGGAAAATACCACTTCCTCAAACAAATACTTTTCTTAGAGATGAATTTAAGTTTTTGAAAATATCTTAACAGATACTCAGGTCTAGGATTAATAAGGGAAAGGACACAAATAAGCTCTTTGAAGAAGCTGGTAGCTGATATTTGCCTGGGTCATCACACATCCTTCTTTAAGTCCTTGTCCTAGTTTGTCACAGAGGCATTCTTCTCAGGACCAGAAAAGATTAGAAAAGACCACTCTATGTTCTTTTCAAGCACTTTTAAAATGTTTATTTGTTTTTTATAAACACTGGGGAAGGAAAATAAATTTCAATTCTTTTAAAAATACATTTCCTGATTTCTGTCCCATTATAATCTATTCTGGTTAAAAACAAAGGAATCCTGTTCAAGTTGTCTGTAGATTATGTTAAAAAGAACAGGAAAAAAGAATTGTGATCACTTTGGGATAATTCTCCAACATTTAATCTGCACAAGTTCATCTTTTTCTAGAAGCATGGAGAACTGCTCATGCTTTTGGGTAGGACCATGTTAATGTACCTTTACAGATGAAGAAGCTATAGCTGTTCTCTGCGATTTTAGCACTCCATTTCTACAAGGAAAACACTAAGTAGAAAGTATGAGAAAAATATATTTAAAGCTACAAACATAAAGTTGGGGATAATTAAATTGTTTTTACACTGTATTTGGTCCTCTTTTTTCTTGGTATATCCAGTCTAAACAGTAACTCCACTCTAATTTTACAGTTATTTGAGAATGAAATCAGTAATAACACCTTGTTCAGCTAGGTGATCTTCTGCATCCACATTTCTTATCTTTAGCAGGTAGTCAGTGTTAGTATCAGTAGGTCAGTGTCAGTAAGGTCATTGATATCAAGCAATCTCAGGCTAAGGAGGCAGCTGAGAAAATGTTTCCAAACCAGAGTGCTACATTTCCATTCCTTCATGTCATAAAAATGTTTTGTCTCTTAGACTGAATAATTTGGTGATCCAGAGCTAATTTGCAAATCAGGAATCTGATATGTGGGGAAATATGAGAGTTTTAGTGTCTCCTTGCTGCCCATTGCCCTGAGTTCACTGATTCTAACAGCACTATTTATTTTGCATTGGTATTTCCAAATCAGATAGAACAAGCAACAAAATTTTCCTCTTGGTGGGTGTGGTGAATGAGGTCTCCACCAATGTGAGTTCAGGACATGAGGTTGATTTTGTAAGGTAGAGTAATAACTGGTGCTGTCCTTACATCTCAGTGTTCTCTGCTGCTGAAATAAGATTGGAGGTTTATTTTTGCTGCTGTCATAGAGAAAAACTGGAAATTTTTATAATTCCAGAGCTTTTCATCTGCTTTGGTTTTGTATGAGGACTTAAACAAACAGTGGCAGACACAGAGAAGCTTTTTTTATTGACCTTCTGATGTAATTTATGCTGAAGAGAACTTTTGTTCTTCTTTTTTGCATGGAAGCCATCATCTGTGACTTTAATTGTCTTTGACTTTGCACTGTCTTCACTTTATAGATGAGAGAACTATATTGAGTCACCTATCTGAGCTCACCAGCAGGCAAAGATAGCAGATCAGTAAAGGTTCTGAGGATCCTGAACACTGTCCTTCCTTTATCTTTTCCTCCTTCTAAAAATAATTATATTCTTTGTAACTGTTTCATCAACAGAGTTCTTAGTTATTGTTTGATTTTTATGTCCGAAAGTGGAATATTATCTGCGGAGTACATGGAGTTTCCTGAAGATTACTGTCTCTCAAAATATACGATCTTTCAGTTGTTGATGCCTATTCACATGTTTTTAAAATACTCCCTGTTTTTAACAAATAGCCTTAGTTTAAAGTATGTTTCACTGTGTAATATACTCACTTACACATAGAAAATTAGCATACTTTGTATGCATGCTATAAATATCTGTTCCTAAACTAGTTCATTTTTTCTTAGGAGCTGTTAAGCTAAATAGTATGGAGGTGAGGTCCTTGGTTTTACTCATAGTCCTTTCATCTGCTTTAATGTATAAACAGTTTTAGAGAATCAATGATACAGTACTTTCTTTCGTTCTTCTCCTGTTGAGAAATGGAGAAGTACATCTGCAGATTCTTTACCTTCCAGGACAGTCTTTAGACACATACACACTGTGTGCAAATGAGCTGAGATAATGAGCTCAGGAAACGTCTCAGTTAGGCACACAGAAATTATCCTTGATTGTATTTACCTACATGGACTTCAAAGTTTCCCAGTAAAAAAATATACGGTATGGATTCTTTAAAATCTTTCCTAATTTCAGAGAACAACATAAGTGATTAGCAGAAAAGAGAACTCAAATGATAATTTGGTCTTCGTGTTCATTCACTTCTCATCTACTCTCTCTAACGAGGTCAGTTAGTTCAAATTATGTTGTAAATACCTGTCCACAAGGGAATGGGCAAAGGGCTATTCATTTAACATAGGTCATCTAAGCAAGCATCACAGGAAGATAGCTTTGAACCTCCTTTGATCACTTCCACATTTACCTCAGTGAAAGACTTCACAGCACAAACTTTTTCCCCAACTAATATCACATCAGAGTTCCTTTTTCTGCCTCCCTTCCTCCACACATTAAACCTTCAGCTGCAAAAGAAACTTTAGAAAATGATTTTGTCTTTAATCCTCCTGAGTGATGTTCTCACAATAAATCAAAATGTTTGCACTTACAGCATCAGTAGCTTCAGAAGTGAAAAACAAAAATTAGTCCTAACCTCAAAACTCATCTGCCTGTCTGGGTGTTTCTGTTAGATTTGACAGAAGAGAATCTAGTCCATTCTCTTATGGTTTTACTGGCTGGGCAGTCTGTGGTATAAAAGTGGTAAAAATTTTCAGTAGAAAAATAAATGTTAAACATAATCATATTTATGAATGTATCCTAATTGTTAAGATGTAGACAAATTAGAGGGTACATCCAATGTACTACACTTTATTCAGGTGCTGCATTCTTTATTTGAGTGGATTAGTCATGATTAGAATTTACACCTGAATTTTCTCATTTTATTCAAGTTTTCTAGAATGAAAATCGTTCTGGTTTTCTTATCTACCGACTACATGTATGCCTATTTCTGGTAGGGCTTTATTGTGCATGTAGGGCTCAAATAGGTATTTCAAACCATAATATTTTATCTGTCCAAAAAACAAGTGCAGCAGGTGTAATACAAATGATCTCACTCAAATCCTTACAGCTTTTTGGAGACTAACATCATACCCCCTTTTCTCCACCATCTATATATCAGCAGGGTTGATGGTGGTTGCAGTAGGTGGTCACAGGATTCTTCTTCCTCTAGAATAAGTGTACACTGCCTTCCACTTTTTCCACCTCATTTGCAGCATAATCCCTCCAACTAAACAGATACCATTATGGCACTGAGACCCTCCATACACAACCACTACCTTGGTTATATCTGTATTAGTTGCATAATGTAAAGGTTTGTTCTCCTTTCTCTCGTCCTTTAAGCTATCCAGGTCCATGGTTTTTGATGTAATTTCAGTAAACCCAGTTCACCTTACATCCGGTAATGAGGCAGTATTTCTGTTTGTGTCCATTGCAGGCAGCTCATTCATGGAACTGTGCTACTTAACATGAAGTTGTACAGTATGCTTCCAGCAGCAATGATTACCCCAGGCATCTGTAGTGTTGATGCACCAACATCAGTAACATTGCAGGTAAGAAAATGAAAAAGCCAATGAAAAGTGTTTTTTTCCAGCAAAGTGCAAAAAATAGGATTTTTCCCGCAGCTCATCGGGACATCAAAAATTGAAAATGCTATTTCCATTATAGCTGCTCAGAGAGAGCATGTTAATCTTTATGGATAGAAAAATATAATGCTGCATAGTGTATGCTAATTTTTACATCACATACCACCTCTGAGGACCACAGAAGGTTTTCGTAGAATTTTTTATTCATAAAATTTTTATTCCAAAAATACTTTGACAAAAATTGCTGACTTCTTACCTGACTTGCAGCTGCCTTTTCAGGTCTGAACTTTTGTTCCATGTACTATTGAACTGCATGCTATTATAAGTGTAACATACAACTTGCAATAAGCATGAAGGACTTATAAAGGAAGTAGCTACAAGGAAGTTGTCAGTAAGCATCAGTAAAACTCTATCTCCATGACTACATGCCGACAATCCACCAACTCCAAGCAGAATAGTGCTCCCAATACTGAAAATGCAGTAAGTCTGCCTGGATGTTTCGTCATATTTCGAAGCTGAACAAAGCAATTGGATACCTCAAAAGAAAATCAAATTGTTTTCTGTATTAAAAAGCTGAAACAACTGTTAGCAAATGGCTTGTAATAGTAGATAATATGGATAAATGAGGCTGGCCTAAAATTTCCTGGTTTTAATGGACAGGGGATTTTCTTGTCTGAAGAATTCAGTCCAAGAAAGTGCCTTAGAATAGCTCTCTCTATTAATAATAAAGGAAGTCAAGTTAGTAAATGAATGCTCATTTATAATTTGTCTCTGCTAAAAGAAGCAGGACAGGAGGGTCTCCCATTTTTTCCCTTTCAGTATCGGTTCTCATATAAGTAACAGTGTCATGATTTTGAACATAACGTAAATAGTGCCATAAGGATTGCTTTTCTGATATGGCCAAGATGAGATTTACATTTTCTAGGGCATAACTTCGCTAGCATTTGACAAACGATGCATATTAAATACATACACATATATGAAATAGATAGATAAAAAATGATGATGTGAGTTAGCAAGCCAAAATGTGATGTGCAAATTTAGCTGGATTTTAAGGAGCTACCTGAATTTTCAGCTGACTGTATTCAGATCACTAAATACCACAAACTTCTTAATTTTGGTAGAATGTTTTCTTTCTCTGCATCTTAAAAACATTCTAAATTTCTAATGTCTATATGGAAGTGCAAAGAATGAAAAAAATTGTAGATGCTGTACAATGTATAAGTAGTTGATCATAAGGAACTGACATGAGGAACTTGATTCTTCTATCTTACACTGGAAAGTGCATGTTAGAATTATCCCTATATTTATGGAAAAATAAATCTGTAATAATAGAAACTTTTCATTTAAGACCCACCTAATTAAAAAACAAGAGGGGAGGAAAGAAAGTAAAAACAACTTCAGCCTTCTAAACATAGTGAAATAGACTAGATGAAATTTTCCCAGGAAAGTCAGAGACAAAGATGCCACTGATTCTTGTGGGCTGACTTTATCAATAACATATTTAGGTAATATGCTGCATGCAGAAAGCATCCTCTTTTCTCTCTCATATTTTGTATGCTTCCTGTACAAATCGACTATGACATTTATTAACTGTTCTAGCAGAATACATATCGCTAATAAGAGTTCAGATTTTCTCTCTCTTTCTCTCTCTCACTTTTTTCTTTTTTTTTTTTTTTTTAATAAAGATTGAATTTCCTGAAACTGATTTGGAGTTCATTAACCCTGAACCTGAAGAGAGAAGAGATGATCTTGAAGAGCCAACTGAAGAGTGCCTGAAGCATATTGCAAGACTATCACAGGCACATTCTCTCCTGCTGTAAGTTGTACCTGACTAGTCCTGATCTATTGATCACAATTAAATATATCCAATACTTCAGAAACAAAATTTTTCTCTGAAGGAGCCTAGCAGGATTGATTTCAGGAACAGCACCTCTAAATGTGAGAATAGATCAGCAAAGCCTAAATAAGCTCCTGGAGATGGCAGTGTGTTTTACTAGTTTAGAAAACTGTTCTTTTTACCTTTCTCTTGTTACGTCTTTTCAACTCATTGAGGGAAGTAACTAATTTTTTATTCAAAAGATAAGATCTTCAGGTGATACAGTATGTCTATATTAGTATTATTAAGCAAACCTTTAATTTGTTGAAAATCATCATCCTTTATTAACACTATATAGAGGTTAAATAGCATGTAACCATTAAAAATGTGTACAAAGTTCTTTCTAAGCAAAGGAGTAAATATACAAAGTTCAGCATCAAACAGAAGGCACATGGAAACAAAACCAATTATAGTGTATATAGTGAAGAAGATAAGTATGCTCAGATATACGTAAGTTACATAATAAGTTAAGATTATGTACTATATAATTTTATATATAATCCATGTGAAATTAGGAGCAGAAATACTTATAGAAAGTCATTATGCCAGTCACAGTTAATTATGTGAATCAAATGTCAAAAGATGCATTAGTTTTACAGTGACTAAATAACTTCTCTCCCAGTCTGATATGATGCATCTGTTAAAAAACTTTTCAATTCTCTTTCCTTTTTCTTTCTTCCTTTTATTTTAATCAAGCAATATATTTAATGAACCATAAAACCACAGAATATTCAAACTAGGGATTTTCAGTGACAGAAGTATATCAACTATCAATAAATGGAAGAGAATACTTCTTTAAGCAGACAGTGGTGAATCCCTGCTACTGTGGAGCTGTGGAGGTAGACAATGCCATTGGATCCATAAATCTATCCAAAGATTCATGGCTAATGTGTTCGTAAATGGCTCTTATACAAGACCAGGCAAACATAGAGCCTATTGTATCCTTAGTGCAACAATTTTGTATTCTGTGGGTGCATGAAGGGAGGAAACCACTGCAAATGGCCAGGCTGGCATCCTCTGTGTAAGTTGCATCTCTAGCTGCCACTGTTGGGGCAAAACACTGAGTGAGAAATAGACCGATGACCTGATCTGAGATGACATGTCTTAAATTTTAAAGGAAGAAAATGAGATCATGGTCATTTATGATGATTCACAGAACTAATAGTGTCATTCTGAAATGGCTTTTTTTTTTTTTTCTGGCTTTATCATATTTACATTACCCTCTGTGGCTTTCTTCACTCCCATCCCTTTCCTGGAGTTACTCTTACAGAATGTTATGCTGTAACATACAGTATACTTTACTATTCATTGAATTATTTAAGAAGTTCATTACAGGTTGTGTAGTACTTTCAGGAGGTACAAATTCTTTTTCCATCTTGGAATTTTGCAAATCGTTGGCACAAGTGGCTGCTGCTAAGACTACGATAAGTGCAATAACCTTCTTGGAGGATGAGGAATGGTAGTCCTTGTTTTTTTTTCACAACTTGTTTTCATCTCATGAACAAACTGGTTTACCAAATAAATTGTCAAGTTGAAGAGTTGCTTTTTTGGGGGTTTTAATGAAGGAAGAGTTCATCTTTATTAAGTGATTTCTGATCAAGAAAAATCTGTGAGCCAGAATTTTTTGTTATATCAATATCAGAGGGATTCTTTTTACCTCCCTCAGTAAAGATGGAGTTTGATTAAAATTTGTAAAACTCTTTGTTGCCACAAAATCTCAAGTTGTCTTTCTTCCTTGTTTTCATAGGTCAAATAAAGTTGGTAAATCTAGGTAACCTTTCAGGGGCAAAATGTATGATGATGCTCCAGGCCTACAAGTTTCAGATATGATTCTGAAATAAAAAGTTATCTGTGGATGGAACACACAAGAAACCACCCTCAGGCTGTCAGGATCCCTCTAGTCATTCTTCTGAAAGCAGATAAGAGAGTGGACAGAAAATGTTCTAAACTCTGTGGCAGAAAAAGGAGAAACAATGTCTAAAACCATACAACTACTTGGCTGTCATTGTTACAAACTGTCAAATTCAGTACCATCATGGATGCAGCCTGGCTGTGGCTCTGTGTCCTCATGTTCAGCCATTAGACACTTGTAGTGCATATTCCTGGCAGGCACACGTACTACAGAAGGATGTCCAGCCACATACATCAACACAGACAGAAAGCAGTGCCTTACTAGCACATGTAGAAACACATAGCACTCCCACAAAAGCAGGCAACCTGATTCTGTTCCTTCTCTGCCTGATTAGGATCAAATTCTGCCATTGGAATATATACATACCCTTATGTCTATATATTTAAGTCTATAGCATTAAAATATTAATTACGCTAGTAGTTGTGCTCAGTTCATCTGCTAGCTAGCTCCAGATCTTCCTCCTTTCCTCAGCTGCTGACACCCAGATATACAAACCCCCAAGTTCACAACCATACTGTGGTTACTGGTTTTAGATCTCTTCATGTTATGCAGACATCAGTCTCCCCAGTAACTGATCCAGACACATGGTCTTCACAGCAGCTGACTCTCAGACCCTTGTCTCTGGAAGCTGAGATCACTGGTCCTGTTGCCAGCATCTCATGGATGCTGACTAGTGATGGGTTACTAGAGTGGATCAGTGGGTCTGAAAATAATGAACTTCAGCGTATGGCACTTGTACTCCTCGCAGGTCCGCATAGTGTGCAATTTTGTGATCTTTGGAGTCATCGTGAAGCCAGATGAGAGAGAGGAAACTAAGTGAGTTCATTAGTTGATGCCTGATACCTTGGCCGACTTCTGACAGCAGTTGAGATGTGAACCTTTGATGCCTTTTAGGATTACTGTGCTTGAAACACAAAACCCCGTAGCCATCTGAGACAATGGCTTCTTTTTGAACATAGCTTGTTTGCCCACAGTGGCTCCCAGTGAAGAAAGGATCAGAGACTGATCTGAAGTCAGGAAAATGACAATCTTTTTGCCATCTTTCTTTCCAGCATACATGATTTCTTTCTACATTTTCTCACTGCTTCCACTTCTTTTTTTTTTTTTTTTTTTTTTTTTTTTTTGTCACTTAATGACTAAGAATCTGGTTTGCTTACCAAACATCACTAGACTGCCTTTGCTGTGAATTGTGATTAGAAAGACTTCTTAGAGCCTGGTAGATAGCAGAACATGCCTAAAAATGGCATTGATCTGCACATTTCATGAACTGTAGGGGCTGGAAGAGACCTTTAGAGATCATTGAGTCCAACCCCTCACTAAAGCAGGTTCCTTACAGGTCTTCCTGGTGGATGTTGAGGTGGGTCTTGAATATCTCCAGAGAAGGAGACTCCACAATGTCTCTGGGCAGATTTTGCTAATCTGTCCACAGGAGGGAAACCTGCAAGTGAGCATCAGAGCCAGGGGGCCAAAATTTGCAACCTCTAGCTTTGCTTTGCTTTCCTGACTCTTTTTTTGTTTGTCTCTTTGTTTTGCTATTTTGTCTTGTCCAGTCTTAGGGCTGAACATGAACAAGCATATAAACTCATTTTTACCATTTCCCCACAAAAGTAAATGAAAATTAAGACCAATTTCCACTGAAACAATTTCCATCATTTAGTGAAAGATATTGAGGGAAATTATCAAAAGGAAAACTAATGAATTATTTAGATTTTAAGTAAGATTTTCTTTCTTCTGTATTTTTCTTTGTTTTGAGAAGAAGGCTAGAAGACAATATATTTTGATATAATTGATACAGGGAGGGAAACTTAGACGTAATAACTTAAAGAACTGCATTTTTATCAATACAAAGAATTTATTAGCATCTTATCACTTGTGTGTTGAAGAAATAGCTTTATTAGCATAGCAATCTTCAGATGCTAAACTTATGCAAAACGCTTTTATCACATATTTTATGTTCTATTGTACGTGTATGTAAACTTTTATTACAACCAAGGAGTAAAAGTAATACCTCCCTCCCTAGAAAGTAAAATACTACCAAACAAAAGTCTAACCCAACCTTTAATTTAATTTTGAATCTTTAAAATATGTTAGTCTAGTTTCTCACAGAAACATGGAAAGAGAAAATGCAATTGCCTCTAAAGCAAAGTGTGAAATCTGTTATTTAGAAACTTGATACAAGGATTGTTTTCTTATCTCATTTTTTAAGTTCAGTGAAGGCTTTAGCTGCTTTAATTTGAACGAAATGTAGCTGCTTTAATTTGAACAAATTGAATAGTTTGGATCATGCTGTTTGAAAACTTCTCTGCTTAAAGTTAACATATAAAAGGGGTGCTTCACAGAATCACAGAATTGCCAGGGTTGGAAGGGACCTCAACGATCTTGAATCTCCAACTCCCCTGCCACATGCAGGGCCACCAACCTCCCCATTTAATACTAGACCAGGCTGCCCAGGGCCCCATCCAGTCTGGTCTTGCACACCTCTAGAGACGACCACAACCTCTGTGGAAGCCTGTTCCAGCACCTCACCACTCTCTCTGAAAGAACTTCCCCCTGACATGCAACCTAAATCTTCCTTCTCTCAACTTAAAACCATTTACCCTTTGTCCTGCAGAATACCATCTGAATGTAAAAAAAAAACAAGATAGAAGTAAAGTCTTAGGCCTACTTTAATCTCTTTTTCTGTGTGACTTCTCCTTCACTGAGAGAAACGTATATGTGTTGTTAAAATAGATATGCTGTGAATTCTGACACAGTCTTTTAAGATGATTGCTAAAATTATATTTTTTCTTGACACAATTACTAAAAGTCATGACTGAATTTGGATCCTGGGTAGATTTTTCTTCTACCTACATTTATGAGCTTATTCTCCTAACAGAGAGGAATAAACATTCTTGTGACATTTAAAAAAAGAGCAAATACAACAGCAAAACTACCTCTGTTCTAAATGTCCAGTGATATGAACTGTGGCAATCTTGAGAATTTGGGAAGGGCTAAGTTCCTTGTTTTGGCTAAAAATGCTCTAGATCATTGCAAGTAGAAGGAAGACGGCTCCCTTCCAACTTGAGATATTCTATTCTAAAATGCTGGATTTTAAGCCCAGATTATGCATCCAGATAATGAAATATTTGACTGGAAATAGACTATTTACATACTGCCTTCTACAAGGTTTCTTACACCTTGAAATATTTAGATGAGTTTTACATCACAATTAAATTATCTTATTAAGTAGATGGATCACCAATGTGTTCAGCTGCTATGACGAAGATAGCCAGTGTTCATCTTGGCGTCAGTAATGACATGTGTCAACTGGAGATCACTTTGCACTCTCAAGGCTTTGATATCAAATGAAAGAGTTTGAGCTTTGATAGATGATTTCTTCTAATGTTTTCTAATAATACCAAACTCTAGGATTTTAATATAGATGAGGCAAAAACACCTGAATTGGTAATAAATTGAAAATATAAGTAAAAAAATTATTTTGAGGCACTTATGGTGGTGAAATGTGGTGTGATGTCCTTCCATTTCATCAATATGTTATTCAACCACCTAATATATCTATGAGGAATTTGGTATTGCATCCTTTGTTTTCATAGCATACTTACAAACAGGTCTTATAAACAGACAGAGATTGATGGGAGCTTTCCTTCCTTTTATATGCTGAGGCAAATGCCATGACTCTGTATGGGCACACATGCTCATGTGTGTATGGATTTACCTAAACCCCAATTTTAATGCAAATGTGCTAGAAATGAACATGCCTGTGTTAGTCATAGCAAGAACATGAACAAAAACTATGGCTAGTGGTGTTGTATGTCTGGTTGTTACAGAACTTAGATGATCCTTAGTAGATGGAAGTAACAATAAATTCCCCAGTGAAAACCGAATCTTCTTTGTCTCTGTCAAAATCTCAGTGAAAACAAACAAACAAATACCAACAACAGTGGAGAAGAAAAATGAGAGTGCTTGGGAAGTGAAATAACCATATATGTGTTTCTTTTGACACTTCATTTTTATATGACCCAAGGCTGACAGATCCAGAGTATAAGTATCACTTTTTTTATGAAAGCTGGTCTGCAGAAAATGATATCCTACCCCAAGGAAAACATGTACGTAGCTGAAGAGGAGTGTACTGTATGACTTGGCCCCACAGTACAGTAACGTTTGGTGCTACACAAAGCTCCAGGTGGTTTTAATTTCAAACTGAATTTCTAATCTTCTTTTCCAGACTCTCAGAGCAACAGAGAAGAATCTTATGGTTTTATCGTTACTACTGCAATAAGCAAAATTGCTCCCTTCCTCTGGTACTGGGCAGTGCACCCAGTTGGGATCAAACAACTGTGTCAGAAATGTATTCTGTCATGAGGAAATGGAGATTTTCTAACCCTGTGGAGGCACTTGGGCTTCTAACTTTCAGGTAAGGGACAATTAGTTTAGTAGGAAATTAACAAGAAGAGGAATGATCATTATGTGCTGCTGATTAATTCAGTGTTTCACTTACGCTCAACGAAGTATGCTACTTTGTTGTTTTTGGTTCTGTCCCTCTGTCAAAGAATAGTTATACTGCAACTCCTGTGATGTCCTTAAGTTGAATACACCAGCCCTGTTTTTGACTGAGAAGGTTTCCTATTTTTCAGAATAATGAGAAGAGTATTTCATTCTCTACAGCAGGTTCAGTCACTTTCTGGTAGCAGGTGATCAATCAAATTCTTAGCACTTGCATAGCATTCCATATCTTCAAACTACTGTGCTAAGGGGAACTAAGGGGAGATATGGAAGACTGAACTATGCTTCCAGTTAGAGATTATGTGTAAGTATGTGCAGGCTCACCTGTAGCCCATCTTTCTGAAGCAGAATTTTGAAAAATTGAGCAAGTTCTGGGTGATTTCTTCCACACAACTTCTTACACTGGGAGATGATTTTCAGGAATGTTTGAGATGGTCTAACCTCTGAAGGAATGGCAGATATCAAGGGATAGAATCTGCCTCAGCAGTTATGCTTCCTCTAAAACCTTACTACATATTTTCTGCTAAGTATTCTATCCATGAAAGCATTAACCCTATGAATGAAATGACTGAGAAATTAGATCTATCAAGTACTAGTCTGGATAAGCATGAGACTGCATCTGCTTTGCAATATCAGTTTCATATTTTACACGTGACCTTTAGAAACAAAATACTTCACCTAGAGCTTTACTCGAGGAGAAAGAACTGTATTTACGCAGCCCCACAATATTCAACAATAGTTGTTTTAAAATGCAAAGCAATTTCCTAAGAATTCCCGTGTCTCAAGTGTAAGGAGTTTCACATGTTTGCATATATGTATTTCTGATTTTTAATGGGAGTGATGGAAGCAAATTCTCTGAAAGATGGAGCATATTATTGGCATTTTGTTTATCATTAATAAATGATTAGAATGTATGAAAGACTCAATGAAGAAAGGAATATACAGGCAACATGTTTTCTTTCACACTCAAGTAACAAGAGAGTTTGAGCTGGTTTGCCAGAGCAATTTCAGTTCAGACCTTATGTCAAATTTTGATTGTGTGTGTGTGGGACATTTCTGGAGATTAAGAGCTTTACTGTTCCTTGAAGGTGCAGCTCTGCATTAGGTTGTGGTGCAGAATATTAGCTCTTGCCAGGTGCTTCTCAGGGTATTTGAATTATATATCACAAAGCTTCTCAGTGTGAAGTGAATGCAGTGTACATGCTGCTTATTCTTGCAGACATTGCGGAGATGGAAAGACAAGATGATGTCATCACTTTGTGTCTCCCAGTGCCACTGTTGTATGTGGCTGGTGCCTCCAGTGATGCCAAAGGGCTATTTTTTAAGAACTTAGTTGGTTTGTCTCTACAGTTTCTTTCTCAACAAAGACAACACCGATCTATTCTCTTTACTATGAGAAGGAGTTCTGGATCACAGTACCAATCTTTAAAAAAGATTTTGTCGTTCACGTATTTCAGTATTGTACAGGTACATGAACAAGTAGGAAGCTAACATTCTGAAAGAGAGGGATTACATTTCATTTAAGATTTCTAATTTCAAAGATGTCTAGCTCTCATTATTTAACTACTGAGAGACATGTAAATGCAGATTGAGAGAGTGGGCTGAAGGAGCTAAGTACTTTCTGTATAAAAAAGTTTTCTGAGGTTTCTTCTCATTGTTATCTTTTCCTCAGATTTCAGTCATATTGAAAAGTAAAATAGCATTGAGTACAATCCAACTTCCCTTCACTATTACCTTCCCTGACTTTTGGATTGTAAGCTCCATAACTGAGCTGTTTTTGAAGGTTCATTCATCTCTATCCTGTATTATGCTTGGCTCTGACAATTCATCAACTCAGTTCCTGACTTCTATCATCAACGAAACAGCTCTCTGAATTCTTGTGATTACTGAGACACAGCTGAAAGGTCCATGTTTGTATAAAACATGAGCAGAATATAAAAGAAATACTCTTTACGGATTCATGTCCATTTTAAGGACTTGTGTTACCATCTCTATCTTATCCTAGGTAAGTAAAATAAATTGGGCATATGTTTTGTTAACATAGTTCAACTGTGGAGAAGCAGCTGGACCAAATCAGAGCAAATGTCAGTCTAGTGCATCCTGTCCAACAACAGACATCTAGGGAAGGCAACAAAAATAGGTTAATCATAATAATGTTGCCTTACTCTCCCAGCTTCCAGTAATTTAAGCTCAGAGAGGTTTTTTAGAGTTAATAGCCCTTTTATAGTTTTATTTTCATTTTTCTTAAAAAAAATGAATTTAGTGTTTATAACTGAACTTAAAAGACGTTCTGGAGCAAGGAGATCCACACTTGAGCTCTATATTGTAAACTATGACACATACAAATTATACCGTATTGTAAGGAGTGTCATAAAAGATCAAGATGTTCCAATCACTCAGAATATTGCTTCATTTTTAGGAATTTCACTTTGCAGTATCCAACAGAAAAGCTGAATTTCTGCAAGAATATGCTACCTCTTTATATGGTTTAGGGAAGGTACTCAAAATCACTAATCTTTTGCAAATCTTAGGCTGGGGACCCTAATTTACCATTCTTTTCACAGCAGAGAAGAGGCATCTGTCGTGATTCAGCCCAAGCTCACATTTGCAAGGATAAAAAAATCAAATCATTGGAGGTGCTAACTCATTGTATGAGTTACAAGGCAGCATTGGAGTGCTTAGGGAATGCTATCATGACTCATCAAATTAAGCCCTGTTATCCTGCATCTGAGTTAGAACTGTCTTTGCAGCTTTCTGAAACTTCTAAATTGTCCACAGTGTACACAATATACAGCTAAATATACAGTTTAATAGATGTTTCTTGTTCTTTGGGCACATCTCTCCTGCTTTTGCTCTTCATCTTTTCAAGCACATATAAGGGCAGCCAAATGATACCATAGTCATTTATTCTGTGGAAAGGAAGAACATTCATAAACTGGAAGCTCAATAATGGTGTATTTCACGGATATATTTAGCAGCAGTCTTGAATCCAGTACTTGGAGTAAGTGCATTGATTCTTGAAGCCCCAGAAGCCAACGCTTTAAAAAATAATAATAGTAAATAAATAATAGTAAATAAAAATAATAATAGTAAAAAGATTGTTTCTTTAATCAATAAATATGGGATGAGACAGCTGTCAAGGAAAAGTGAAAAATAGGATTTTATACTTCTAATTTTACTTCTAATTTCAGGGATGGGTGATTGAAGGGATTGCCTGAAAAATATGTATTTCTTCTTCCTAAAGCAAAAGTATAAGGATGGTCCCTTCCACCATTGCTTATTGGTGCCCTATGAGTTTTACTATAGACTTCACCTATTGGTCACGGCGAAAAAAAAAGCCAAAATTCAGTGAAATTTGGTCTAGTCCACTATTATATGGGGAGTTTGATGGCCCTGCATGTAGCAGGGGGTTGAAGATTCATAATTCTTGAGGTCCCTTCCTACCCTGGCCATTCTGTGATTCTGTGATTCTGTGAAATTAGAGCTTTCTCTGACCATATCTACTTTTCGTGGCAGACTGGGGAAATGACACCAGAATACTTGTTTATTCAGAGAATTTTCTTCTTAACTGAGAGACACCAAAGACAGTGCTAGAAATGCTACCTCATATGGTGTATCGCTAGTATGCCAATGTTCTGTGTATGTATAAAGCAATCATACTTGCAAATTTTTGTCAGGTTATTTTGATTTCAAATGATCTAAAAGGAAAGCCAAAATGAATTCATTAACCCAAATAGCAGAAATTAGGCTCTTTTATACTCCTCCATGGACAGAGATAATATGCTTATGGTTATAGTATCCCTCAGCCTTTGACTTTCAAAACATTACTGTTGATTTTCACATTATTTAGCAGAATTTCTGTGGAGCTATAGAGGTTAAGGTATATATAAATATATGTGAAACTCACTTTCTAAACACTAATTATAATAAAATGGGATAGCTTGAAACTAGCCTGTTCATAAAACTTTGAAAGCCAAATTGATTTGAGACGCCTTGAATCAGATAGCCATTGTTTTAACCTGCAAGTCTGCAAAGAACATTTAATAGTTATCAAACAGATGCAGCTAAACCATATCTGGCCTCTCTGCAACTTATTTGATTAAAAGGGTCCTAACTGTATATCAACATGGAGGGCAACCATGGGTTTATGCAAAGAAATAAAGTTAGAAAAAACAGTAATCTATAATTAGTTTTGTGCTTTGTTTTAACATGTTCTAGAGCTGCAGAATTTTGTGGTGTGGATGGCTCATGAAAGGTCATCTCATTCTTTACAGAAGTCCTCAAACACTAGAAAATGCAGTAAAACGACATTTCAGTTTATCTGACAAATATCTTCAAGCATGGGGTTATTTGAAACATTGCAATAAAAAAAATGAAACGCACATCTATTTCTCATTTACAATCAAGTCACTGGCAAATGCCAAAATCTCAAGAGAATATCACAAATCCACAGGATACCTCAGCAGCACTTAATTTTCTGTTTGAATCTGATTTAGCTGAAAGGTAAAGCCAGACAAGATGCTCCGTACTGGCTATCTGTATGAGAATAATAAAAGACTGGATGTTGCTCTTATTTCTAAAGCAAATTGTAGTCTGTTCTCATTCAGCTCAATATTCAGCTTTTTCAGAAACCGTCGTAAAATCTCATGGGAAACCTAACAATTTTAAACTACTCAGACAGAAGTTACAAAATAGATGGCTGTCAATCACTGGCATCATGCAGGGATAAAAGAACAAAACAGCAAAAGGTTACTTGAGGTTAAATATCAAAGGAAATCAGTTTAATAACTTAAGGAGTATGCAGGCTTCAAGACAAGCTGTGAAGGGGAAATTTGAAGTCCATCATAACGTTAACTGTTGTGGACTAGACCTGACAACCATTGTTTACGTATTGTTTTTTTCTTAAGTAGTGTCCTTGAGAATATAAATGTGGGACAAACTTATGAGACACAGTCCCAGTTGTGGAATATCCATTACCTGAATGGATGGCAAACATATAATTATTCAAAAGAAGAAAGGTACTGTGTGTTGCAATTCAGGAAAATGAATGAGGATCACAGTAATTCTATCCACTTAATTGTTTGTTGACCAATAGCTTGTTTGTTGAGGGGAAAAAAATAGAAGAAAGGGAACAGAAAGGAAAGGAAGAGGAAGATCATAGCTAGAAGTAATTGGAAACCTGAATGAAATGTCCAGTTTCAATCACATTTAGAATTTGTGCAATTAAAAGAATCAAACATTTTTAAGTATTTTATTTTAAGTTGCGATTTTTTCTTGCTAAATTTTTGGATATGGTCTTAAAACAGCCAGGGAGAGGGGTGCCCAAATCTCTGCTTTTACAAACAGTTGTCAAAGGTCACACATCAAGAACCTCATAGTCATGGCTCAAATTCTTTCCAAAACTGATCAGGTATATGCACTTGAGATCAGCTCTTGCTCCTTAGGAGCCCAAAAGGCTGTAGTATTGACTCTGTTGTGATATGGTCATCTCATCTCATTCTTGAGTTCTCATTGTGTATATAAAAGTTACATATTCTTTATAGCAAGCCTTGGAAATCACCTATGCCCCAGTATGTAAACAGCAACCACGTTTTGTTAGACCTAAAGTGATTTCTCGCAGTGAGTTACAGAGCCATCTGTTGAATGAGGCCACCAAGAGCTGGGCCCTGCGCTTTGGCCACAACAACCCCAGGCAGTGTTACAGGCTTGGGGCAAAGTTCCTGGAAGACTGTATAGAAGAAAGGGATCTAGGGGTGTTGATAGACGGGTAAACATAAATCAGTAGTGTAGACACCCTAGCTTGTATTGGAAATAGCGTAGTCGACAGGAGCAGGGAAGTGGTATTTTCCCTGTACTCAGCTCTGGTGAGGCCAAACCTTGAGTCAGATGCTGTACTAAAAGACATGGTGTAGTGGGAGAATGTCAGTGGTAGGTGGAAGATTCTGTGTCTATATGGAATATATTTCATTGTTCAGAAACCTGCTGAATTAGGGGAGAAGGGAAAGAAATTGACTAATTTCCATATTATCAGCACATGCTTGGCACACAAGCCTTTGGAGCAACTGCAAAATTAGATGATGGAATGATATGGAAAGAATTAATTTTTTTAATATGTGATCCTCCTTGAAGTATCTTTTGTTGTAAATAGCCATATGAATATTAAAGTAACAACTTCATGTTCCTAATAGGGTGCCTGTAAAAAAATAAGTAAAAAAATAAATAGTACTTGCAAAGTGGGCTAATTTGGGACAAACATGATAATTTATTTATAAAGTATTCTGTCTGTCCCCATCAAGGCTCTCCCAGCATCATGCAAGTGCTTATTAACTGTACTATAAACGTCATCAAATATGTACCATAACAGAAAAATATAATATTAAAATATTAAATGAGCTACATTAACAGGAAGTTTGAAAGTATTACAGCTGGTATCAGTACAAAAAACTGGACATCTCAAGTAGGTCTGACTCTTAGCTATTTGTTCTCTAAATGTCCACTTTTATTGGAAGAAATGTAGTTAATTTGGTGATCAAAGCATACATAGGTCTGTTTATTATTTTACTTCAGTTTATTTTATTAAATTTAAAAGCTCAACTTTTGAGCTGCAAGGGCCATTATACTTCAGAGCACTTACCTTTACAGTTTCTTTTCTTGTGATAGCAATCAGCAAGTCAGTACTGCAAATGTGGCACTGCCTCTAGTGTTTTACTTCTGATTTATTTTTTAGTGGATATAGAGTTTACAAAAGGTGCTGGATAAAAAGCTGGGAGAAGACCAGTCTGTTTCTCTGATGAGCATATAAAACAGTAATATTGATGGCCCCCTTAGACCTTCTGCCATAGGTGACAGTTCTGATTTCAAAGGAATTCCTCCAAGGCAAATTGCAACATAATCTGTGGTCTTTATTCATCATTTTTACGTATGGCATGGAGTGACAAATCAGTGAGACACTGGACTGCAGTGCATGAAAGAGTCTAATGGCTGTATTTGTTCAGAAGTTGAGGGATATATTGCTTCTTGTGGGGCAGATACTTGCCCCTAGAGAACTGAACTGCAGCCCAGTAGCCCTTTAAAACAATATCTAATTGACTGTGGTGCATCTGAAGACATTTCTGCCCCTTTGGCACAGATGATAACTCTTACAGTTCTGATGAGGGAAAGGTTTGTATGAACATTCCCAGTTTGCTTCAGAAGACAGAAGAGACTCTTGGGATTGTAATGGACAAATGTCAAGTACTGATAAATAGTTAAGCATGTTGTTGACGCGTAACAGATATGCAGATGAGCACATCTATTCTTTTCCTCATAAAAGCAGGACCATGGAAAAATGCTTAAGTGTAAAGCAACTTAGGCAACTTTTTTGTTCTTGGAATTCTCTGTGAGCATCAAAAGGGCAGCATATCAAAATCTAGAAAGGTTTTTTTCTTCTTTTCTTCTTTTCTGAAGTAAGTCAACTTTTGAATATTAGAAGAAACACTGTATTCTTTGTCTTTTTCTAAGAGAAACTTTTAACAGGCAGTTTTGATCAGTCAAGATTACATCAACATTTCATTCTCTTTATTTGAAAGAAAAAAAAAAATTGAGTGGCTAGATTATTTGTCCTCCTTTCCCTATTTTTATCATTGCTGCCACAGCATCTTATCTTCTTTTATCAGTTACAGTTACAGTTTCATCACAAAGTCTGTATTAGGACGCAGTCATACTGATTTCAACTAGATTGTTTTTGAGAATGCAGCTTATTTTAAACACTCGTTGAACATTTCCTGCCAGGATTTATTGAGGGTATAGCTTCTGATGAGCACTGATTGAGCATTTTCCCATCAGAGAAGCATTTTTCACAGACTTGGAGACCTTCTGAGGGAATGCCTTGATTTTTTTTACTAAATTTTCTTTCAGGAGAACTAAAGTGAAAAACTGCTTTTCACTTCCAAATTACTTCTGTTTAAAAATATTTAAAATTTTGTTATGTTATGAACCAGGAGCACTGACACTGCAACAGTTTTTCTAACATGAAGCCTCATTGTACGGAAATTTTCAAGTTTTCATGCTGTTACTCAAAACAAATGCTTTCAAGTGACTGTTAAGTGTTTCCATTGCACAGAAATTTCCTATTACAGCTAAAAACAGCAAGGGAGGATGCACAATTGCCTTCATATTTCAATAAATATAAAGGAAATTATAATGCTTGATAATTCAAAATAAAAAAAGGCATTTGAAGATCAGTGTTCCAGGGTACTGGGTTTATGATTTTCTTGTACAGTGCTGTAGCAGCCAATCCAATTAAGCGATGTACTCTCTATTTCTTGACTCTTGCTGCAGTGAAGGAAATGAAATGATTTTTTTCTATTCCATTTGGAGAAAAAAACTGTTTTTCTAGCATTTTGCATCAGTAAGAGCTCAAGAGAGTTGCAGTGCATAAACAGTGTCTTGGTACCTCTTAGTAATATCTATTTGTTTTGCTTTAGTTTTCCAGATAAAGATATTCGCCGAACAGCAGTCCAGCAAATAGAAAATCTGTCAAATGATGAATTGTTAGAATATCTCCCACAGCTGGTTCAGGTAAGAAAAAAAATTTTAGCCAATGGTGTCTTTTGTCCAGATCAATAAGTTCATTAAACACTTTTGGTTCTTTCAGTTTTATATATTGTAAGAGCAATAAGTAAGAAAGACTGACCAGCTGATGAAATGTTTGAATTAACAGGACAAACATATAGATATTCTCACTTGAGAGAATGCAATTGTTTTGGTAATGTCATTGATCTTTTCCATGTACCACAAAGTGACCTTTCTACAGAAAGGAAGAAAAGAAAAAAAAAGCAAGAAGAAATAGCATCTGTATAAAACAAATGATGCTATGACTGCCAGGCCAGGGCCTGGGCTATGTTGTGGTCAAAAAGAGGTTTCTTTGCAATGAATCACATTTCTCTAGTGTCACATACACAGTGAAAATCATTGTCAGCACACAGTAACTACATCAAGTTGGTAATAGAATAGTTCCTTCAGAAATGTACATTACTTTTCAGTGGAAACTAATGCTTTACGTATTACGGGCCTGTTGCAATATAACTTTTTGTTGAGTCAGTCTTGTTCTTTAGTTGAGGAGGAGCTAGTCTTATCCACTTATTTTGTAATTCCAACCACATGGTTTTCTTAGAGTTCTTCATTTCAGAGTTCCTCAGGGTTTTATTTGTGTTTTTTTTTTTCAATATGTTTATATTTATATGCACACATATCCATGCACATATGCATATTTGTATGTAGATACATAAGTACACATGAATGCACATATCTATGTAGTCCTTTACTGTGAAGAAGTGGAACCATCACACCTTTACAACATTCAGCACATTTGAAAGATTTCATCTTTCACAGCTCCTGTTTCACAAATAAATTTTTGGATAGAATTTATTTTCCAAATGAAAATGGCAAAAATGTAAATATAGCAAAGACTGTATATTTGCATGTATATTTATGTCCGAAATCCAGATGATATCCTGTTGTCTTGCAGGGGATAGTATCTACTTGTGTCGTGAAGTTTCATTTCATGGGCATTCTCCATAAGTTGGATTGTTTCATGCAAACATGAAACTGTAAATGAACTGTAAATGGAGATACTATCCTTTCCAATTAATTTTATTTATGTAAGTGAAAGATAACAAGACCAGCATTCAGGTGATTGTTCTTTTTATCTGTTAAGGTGCTTAAGTTTGAGTGGAGTCTGGAAGGCCCTCTAGTGAAACTCCTGCTGAATCGCTCTCTTCAGAGCATCCAAGTAGCCCATCAACTTTACTGGTAAGACTGTTTTTTTATTATTAATTCATCCATTTTCCATTACAGTGAATATTATCCATCACTTCATCAGTGACAAACTCTGTTTAAAATAAACAGTAGTTTTTTTCACTCTCTCATCATTATCCTTCTAGTAGTGGATATGAGTAAAAGTCCTGCTTATCTCTGACTTCATCCTGTCTCTAGAGAAAAAATTGAAGGTCAGCTCTCTTAATTAAGGTACCATTTGTATTTTTTTCCTTATCTGGTTTGAACATAAAGTAGTCTTACTCAGAACCTGCAAGATGTCCAAGCAGCATTGACTTACTGATAAAAGGTCCTGTTTTTGAGATTTCTCTGACCTCTTCTAAAGATTTCAGACTTCTCATGTCTATTCAAGTAAGTCTCCTGAAGCATCTACAAATCATTCTAACTTGTGATAGCAGTGTTCCCATTCCTTTTAGTAGTCATGAAGATGTAACAGTTCTGATAGGAACCACCATTCACTGTCTAGCTATACAATGAAGGGATATCTGTAATCATATTATTTGCATGCAATGATTACTGTTTGCAATGCCATCACTTCAAGGCTGTTGGAAAGGGAATGTATCTTCTGTCATCTGTGCTGCTCTGTGATCTGAAAATCTAGCTTTTTTTTTTTTTCTTGTTTAGTAATGATGGATGAAATGAACTTTCATTTACAGTTCAACTGGTTCAGATCTCTGAAAGCAAAAGCTTTCCTCCCTGCGAAGCAAAGACAACAGTTTGAAATGTAATCATTTTGTTGATGAAGTGTGGGGTCAGAGAGAGCATAGATCTTATTTTTATATCTGCATGATCTCTGGAAATGTCTCTGGACAAAATAGAATTTTGCCTGTGTTCATTTCACTGAAATAAATAGGATAATAGTAATATGCCTAATCAGTGTATTTGTTAAAGAGGCACCACATTTAGCATGTGTAAACTTCTTCCACTTTACTTTGCAACATAGACCTGTGTAGATCCATCCTTTTTCTTTTTTTCCTAATTTTGTTTGACTTATCTGATGGTATAGCCTTGGGAAATACATAGAAGAAATTGTATCTTGAGCAATTGATATCCTTATCTGGCATCATTTAATTTAATGTGGTAAAGGACTTATATTTTATATATATCTTAATCATAGAATCACAGAATGGCTTGGGTTGGAAGGAACCTCAAGGATCATCAAGCTCCAATCCCCCTGCTACAGGCAGGTCCACCACCCTCCCCATTTAATACTAGACCAGGCTGCCCAGGGCCCCATCCAACCTGGCTCTGAACACCTCCAGGGACGGAGCATCCACAATCTCTCTAGGCAGTCTGTTCCAGCACCTCACCACTCTCTTGGTAAAGAACTAGTATCCAATCTAAATCTTCTTCAACTTAAAACCATTTCCTCTTGTCCTGTTGTTATCTACCCTTTCAAAGAGTTGGCTCCCCTCTTATTATAGACTCCCTTTAAGTTCTGGAAGGCTACAATGAGGTCACCCTGCAGCCTTAATATATAATATTACTGAACACACTTATATCTAGTAGAATATTTCTAAATGTTCACTGTATTCTGTGCCTTTTAGCTGGTAGCACGTGTTGATGTCATCCAACCCTGGGTTATTTTACAAGCACTTTTTATCCCTGTGTGCATCAGGAAGTGGAGATATCATCAGCTACTGTGTGTTTATTAAATATTTTGATTACCCTCTTATGCTTTGGTTGCAGATGGAAACTACTAATTTACTAAATATCTTTCTGGAATATCCCATGGATACTTCCCTTAATAGTATTTCCAAATTGTATAAATAGTAATTTGCTATTTATCCCCAAATAAACAAGCGTAAAGAAGGTATATTTTACCTGAATGTAAACATTAGTTTCTTAGACGGGTAACTTTTGATTAAATGTTAAAATTAGTATATGTTCCTTTGTATAGATATGTAAATATAAATACAAATACACATTTATATGTATGTATAAATGCATGTATAAATATAATGCATACATAAATTCAAATATATATTCAAATGTATATTTTTTCAAATATATATTTTTTTATTTTCTGGATTTTCAGTACCTTATCTGGCAGACATTCTTGGCAGAAATTTGATGGATTCATTTATTCATTCATTTAAAACTGGGACAGGATTTTTTTATTAACAAGTATCTACCCAGTGCCTGGGCAGGAATCTGCAGGACCACTGCACAACACTGTCATGTGTCGTGTTTTCCCATGTGGTAGCTGTGTTTCTGTAATAAGAAACCAATACGTACCAATAGATGATGTGTTTCTGAGAACAAATTCACTTAATGCACTTTACTTAGAATATGGGAAAGCCTGGGTGAGTGGAGCAACGTGAGAAAATACTATAATACAGAAATAGCAGCAGCCACGTCTAAAGTAGCCATCCTTGAAAGTACAGTAGTATAATAGTAGTATAACTATGTGCACCCAGAATACACAGAGCAGTCATTAGTTTTAGCAGGAGAGATGTCTTCTCAAGGCATGCCTGCTTGGCTACTCTCAAAAACTGATAATTTTTTAAAAGCCTGACTGGACTCGAGTGTTTAATATATATGTTTAGCTGCACAAAGTGATCATGAAGGTATCCAGTCATACCTCTTTTATTTAGTCTTTTTGTTCAAGCATTTCAATATGAATTGGAGAGTTTAAATATAGCACACACCTATAGTGTTCATCAGACTCTACACTTTTCTTCTTTATATACTCTGCTCCACCATGTTCTCCAGAAGCAAGCTGTTTTCCACCAAGCATTTAAATGTATGCAATTATTAATATTTCTGTTCCAGAACTTTTAAATCCAGTTTCCCAAGTAATAAATTCTATTTAGAAAGTTTAGCAGTAATTTCATGGTTTGTATTAATAAAGGCTTTCATTTACTCTGCAAACTGGATTTGTCTTTATAAAAACAATGGAAAACTGAGTCTTGTCCAGTTATCTCTAAAGAGATTTTCAAAAAAAGCTCATTAAGTTAATAATACAGGCAGCATACGTGTGCAAGCATGCTCCCAAATCTTTTTTAAGAAGTGCAGTTAGCGTTTTATTCTCTGAAGCATTTAATTCTGTTTCTTAACAAGATTGGTAACCAAACCCAGCCTTAGAAGGAAGAATTGGTTAAAACAAGCTGTAGAAATGATATTATGTCAATTTTTTAATTGTAATAAGTGACATTAATGTTCCACTATTAAAAAACAATCAACGTATGCACCATGTTTCTACCCAAAATAGAACTTGGAGCAGAAGATGTAAAATCTAATATTATTCAGTAAACTAGTGATACATTTTCATAATCACAAAGGAAACATCAGCTGAGTTAAACTTCCATGTTTTTCAACAGTATTGTAAACCAAGACAATAGTTACTAGAATTGGTGGTGACTGGCAATGCTAACTCACTTGAATGACAAACATCATTTTAACAGTAGCTCACTTATTTAAAATTGACACAATTTCCCTGCACACAAGAAATAATCTGCTGCCTTTAATGATGTACCAGCTCATCACCTTTTTAATAGTGATGTTGGACAGTAAGTAGTTGAAGCTCTTGCCATGAAGCAGTGATAAGTTTATCTGAAAATTTTATTTAAAAAATAAAATAAAAATTGAGCAGTGATTGGCAAAAGTGAACTGAATATTCATTTTAAGATTCTTGGGACACATCTTCATGTGTTGTACATCAGGAAAGCTTTGATGAAACCAAGTATTTGATTGTACCAGCTGTGGATTTGTCCCATTAATTTTTATATTTAGAGCAACCAGGTCATTTGATTTTTCACCTTTTTTTTTTTCCTTACTGTGCATGACTTTTCTACTCTCTAGCTTTTCATAAATGTAGGCCGTCTGTATCTCAGTAGTCCTTTTGAGTGTACTCCCCTTCACCAGGAGACTAAAAATTACCCATGCATACAGTGCCAGCACAGGACTGTGTACTACTTAAATCCCATTTCAGCTTTATTGCAAGGTAAGTTCCTCATGTACATGAGATATAGGGAACATTTACCCTTCTCAACTACCTTCTAGAAATTTACTCTGATTCTGGCCTTTTCATAGCTCAATTTGTAGGATAGGAGAAAACTGGAGTGAATTTTCCCATTCCCTGCAGCTAAGTTGAGTAGGAAAGCTTTCTTAAAGATTTCTTCTAGCAAAGCGGAAGAGTTGCTTGAGGGGAAAGAAACCTGCTGAGACCCTTCAGGACATTTCATCTGCTGTAAGTCTCCATTTATTTCCTTGCTACCACATTTTACAGACAGTTTCAGTCAGCTTTCTTCCTTGAGTTTTAATCGACCTCTCTGTCTCTGGCAACCTGCCGATCCATTTCCTATTTGCTTGGAGCATTTTTTGCTTCCAGCTAGTTCCATAGGTGGCAGCTGCAATGTACGATTGAAACAGCTGGCTGGGGCAGCAGGTGCCTAGGAATATGTCTCACAGATGGTTGGCTTTCATAGGAAGATTGAATAATGGGGAGAAGGGTAGTGTCCTTTAAGATTGGTGGCAGCTGCTTGAAGGTGGTGCTACAAACAGGTTTCATTTTTGGGAAAGAGTATGAGTGTATGTAAATTTTGGCAGATCACGAGCATTTTATATGCTTAGTTCGAGAAACCAAAAAGATAAGTGAAACCTTTGTTGAAGGCAAAATGTTCTTTTGCAACTTGCTCTTTCAAAGTTCTCTTTAAATTGCAAAAAGCCTTATAGATTTCTTTTTTAATTTATAACATTTTTTAACTGCATTCAGTCTGATAACCAAGAGAAAGGGAGCTGTCTTCTATTTTACAACTGCATATCTCATAAATAATGTGAGCTAACTCTTGATGAAATCCAGCACACTAAAAGCAGAGTGAATTAGACTATTGATTTCAAGAATAGAGCATCATATTTTATTTGTATTTCATTTTCTACATGAAGAGAGCAGTAGGAAGCAAAACCAACATAAGAAATGTATAAAAGCTTAAAAAGACATCACTAAATTCTCTACCATTGAGAGGTTTGCCTCT